GTAGTGGTTAAATTTTTAGGCTGTGGCTTGAAATCACTCCAGATTGTTTGGAAGTGGCTGCTACCTCTATTATAGACTCAAGTGCAATTTCAAGTTCCAACCAAGACATTTGGACATGTCCTTACCACCATTTTGAGAGTGTCATTGGCTTCTGATTTGGAATATTTTGTGGGAGGAGTGTGCGTTAAGTGATAGATTTTTCAGTGTGACTAAACACTATCTGAAATGGTATCCTATAAATTAGTATAAATTGTGTTTTGTGTTGAATTTGGTGGATTTCTACAGTTCTCCATCAGTCTCCAATTTGAAAGCAGTGGTCTTTCTCCCAACACTTAATGAGGCTTTTGTGCTCCAAGAAGCTACATGTTTGCCAGCACTGGCTGGTACCAAGTCAACATGCAAACCCTTGCTTATATAACCAAAGAAAGAAAATGGCAACAAATGTGTGACACTATGGCTAAGAGAGAAGACGATTAAATGCAAATATATTTACCGGCCATGTAATGGAATACATCTTGTTGGACCTCCCCTGGTTTTATATTAGTTGCAAGAATCAGGACATCGTACACCGAGATGTTGTTCCTGATGTATTCAATCTGCTCTTTGGTAAACAATCTAAATGAAAAAACAATTGCCAAGGATAAGCTAATGTTTAACCAAATACCAACTCATATTATACTTTTTGTTTAGCTTCACAAAACAGCAATATTTTTTTTAAGTGAGCGAACCATCCAAGATGGGTGGAAGGTAAAGATGTTTAGGACATTCTTTCCTGCCAAAGACTGAGACCGAATGTAAATTTTGAGATACATTTGCCTCAGAAAGTGTCAAAATCTGGTCACTTTTAGGGGTTGCCTTTTAGCTTTAAAAACTAAAACAGCATTTGAAGTAATGAAAAAAAATGGCAATTGTATAGAATTATTCTCCACACTGTGAACGATGAATTAGTCATTCATTACGTTAAAAACTTACTTCAAGACTTTTTCTGCAAAGTTACCTGCTCAAACTTATAAAAAAAACACCACCTGTTACTGAAACCTTGCAAAATGAAAAAGATTTCAAGGGCACTAAGACTGACCCATTCTGTTCATTCTCAAACCAAAAACGGTCTCCATCACGGGTCCGTAAAAACTGATCCAAGATGATTTTCCGGAAAAGAGGTCCGGGCCCATTAGCGGTGGTTTCCAAAAGCCCTCCTGGCCAGATGTCAATCTTTGATAAGTCACCCTTACACACCTCTTCAAGATTATCAAGAATCTGTAAAAGTATGAGATGGTAACATCCATTACTTCTTTTCTAGATTGTTTAAATATCTAATCTGCGGAAAAACATATGTGAACAGGAAAATGCAAGGTACTTAAACCAGAAAGAACTGGGTCAATATAAGAATTGCAATTTCACTTCTTTTCCATCAGTAGATTACCCTCTGTTACAGACAAGAGTTTGTGAGTTGCACTGATCCAAATTGAAAGCAAGATTTGAATTAGATTCAATGTCTGCAACAATGAGGAACATTGAAGAAGAGCAAGCAGGTAAAAGATTGAACACTTGGAGTCATTTAGAATGACTAAGGAGGGAATTATTTTCAGACATCACTCAAGTACAAGACAAATCAGCCTTTTGCGAGTAAAATTTGAATAAAATCTCGTACACTAGGTTCTTTAAATTCATGTGAACATAACAATTAGAATTCTCCATACTAAAGCCACTGTTGCTATACCTCGTGATTTGGGGCAAGCTTTTCCTTAGTTACATAAGAGATGCCTTGTGACAATACACTGTTCAAAATGGAAAAGATGGCACAAAGGAACCAGAGATGGTGGTTGCCGAGAATCCTGAGGTATAGCCTTAGTGTCTTTCACGGTCTGGGGAATTCAAATTGTTGTTTACATGAATTTAAAGAACTCAGTGTACCAGATTTTATTCACATTTAACTTGCAAATGATTTATTCAATGCAAATGCATGTAACTGTATAAAAGTAATGACCTTATGACACATAAAAAATCCATTATTAAAAACAAAGTTGTGTGTCAGTGCACTGTAAATTTTGCTCGGTTCATGCATTTTTAATAAATACATGAATATCATATTCCTCCATGCAACGAATGAAAATAGACATTTTGGGTAACAACTTTTTTGTACCTGACAGAAGTGAAAATAAAGACTTGCAAAATATCAATTTCAGTACAACATAATTAAGGTCTTTTGCATTTATGTCAGTATTGCTGACCCTATACAAATTAAGCTTACCTATTTGAAACCACAATTTAATTGGGCTGACCCATATTGCTCCTAATCTATTTTTGGCTGGTGCAACTTTGGAAAGCCTGACTGAACTAGATACTGCCTATATAAAAGAGATTGTATGTGAAAAGGCGTAAGAGCCAGGTAACTGTGTACTCACTGACGGATCGATGCCTGTCTGGTCATTTTCAAAAATGGTGGCATTATTGATTTCCCTGAAACTCTTGACTGGTGTCAATCCTAGAGCTTCACGTGCCGTGTTGTAGTCTGGCAGTCCGTGGTCACGACCTCGCTGGATGTTTTGTGCCATCAGGTCACGACGTGAGAAGTCCAAAGGACCAAAAACACGCCCTGTACGGACAATCAAAGTTGTTCCACATAAGGGAAAAGTTTGATTTTTATGGCATAGTCATGATAAATCAAATCCAAGTGAATGAATTTAGAGGGATATGCATGCGATGGTCACATGATACTAATTTTTGGCTAACATGCAAAAAACAAAACAAAAAAAACCACCAATCTGTATACGTGTGTTACCTCAAATACTTGAACAACGTATACTGTAATATAAAAATGCTGATTTTTGTCCGATTAAAATACCTTGTCCCAATGACACATCTTCCAAGAAGTGATATATCCTACTGGGTTGCACCTCCAAACTGTAATTTACTTTATTCAATTCAGTAAATGAATGAACTAGATGAGTCAGATGCCATTACTGCAGTGGTATCTTCCTCACAGGAGGGTCCATACATGAATGTTATACGCACCACTATGACCAATAGGGTAATATGATTCATCAAAGTGAACGTGAACCACGACAAACCCTCATTTTGCTAAAACTGTCACCCAGTCAAAAATTCAATCCACTCACTTCTGCCTTTACTTTATGCACATGCCAGTCAAATTCAATCGACAGACACAACAGCAGGTGATTGGTAGCAAGAGCTGGCTTATCAATCATCAAAAGTCAAGGCACTGTCTCAGCCAATCACTTTTGCTTTATGTAGGCAGGGGACACTAAACTGTTAACAGTCACTTGACTGATTTTGACTGATAGGATGACTTTTTCCTGAATGAACGCTTGCAGGAAGGGTTTTGAGAATAGAAACAAGAGAACAAAAGAGGGTAATGCTGCAATAGAGTATTAATTACTCAAATTTGACATCTAAAGTAGGAATCCTAATGCAAATTAATGGAAAGCACATTGGTTCTCACGCTAATGCCTCTTACACACACAGATGTGTGATGCATTCACATCTGTACCCTACAACATCCAAGTGCGACATCACTTTGAACCAGAAAAAGTAGTGCAAACGAATGTTGGCTCACACACTGCTTCTTGCACTAATGCCTTTCAAACACAGAATTGTGCCTGTGACGTATCGACTTCAGTACTCTGTAATGGAATTCCCTTTAGAGACACAAGGTGTCAGATATCTTTGAAGACATGTGCCACAGACTGGCCATTGCTATCCAATGGCCCTTGATCTAATGGCATTTGTACTTACGTTGCAGATCAATGGTGATAATGTTATCCTCACGTTCTGTTATCTGGGAGGCCATACCCATCAAGAAGTTCTCAATGTCATACTCGCGGATAGGCAGCTGCAGGAGTACAGTACAAGAGGAGCAGACTGAATGCACTGAAACCTCAAAGGACACGTGCGTGCAATATTTTTACAGTGTGCCATGCTGGCAATCCTAATGAATGCTTCCCAAAGAAGAAAACCTAAAACAGACATGATACACACCTGTGGGTTCCAGAAAGAGTTGCACGTTCGAACTCCATGCACTGGGCTAAACTGAGTGCCAGGGATGTTACTAGACTCTAGTGAAGTGTTCAGAAAGTTACACTGCGCATCTCTGTTGGTGTTAACAAAACAAAGAACAGCGAAGCAACTTTAAAAAAAAAGCCAACTATTCCTTTCCTACATAATTTTTGATCTGATCTACAGTTTCCATAACTACATTGGCAGTCTCTGTAATAGCAGTTTTCTATCACATTTGACAATGGGTGCCAGTTTCATTGTGTTCATTTGTTCAATTAAAAATACAGTGCACCGTGAAGAGGATATTTTCTTCAAAGTATTACTTCAAATGGCCAACACCCATGCACAAACACAAACTAGTAATACTTCTGCAGAAATCTTGGACAATTTGTAATTTTTTCAATGTGTGTGCTTTCAGTTGAACAGTTTTTGCTTGCTACATATAATTCATACTCCACACACCTACGATAGACCCCTGGTGGGACTAATGTGTGTCCAAAGCGCATGGCAGCTGACTGAAACTCATGGGTTATTCCTGGATGTACATAGCTCTTATAACCTACAGGTACAGAAAAATTCAGAGAGCAGAATGTATATAAATATAATTGTGCATCCAAATTATACTTCAATCATAGTTGTAAATAGCATGATGTTTAAAAATAAAGGCATTATGGAATAGTTTTACGATCACACAGGGCTAGAACAGCATGCCCTCAACCAAGAAATTATTACTCTTAAAGTTAATACATAGTCGTTGCCCACATAAAAGCTTAACTTCCAGATCAGAAATAGTCTAAATCACATTCTTCTCCTCTCAATGTTTCTTGTTTTTGTCTCTAAATGTGGTTCAATAAAACAATACACACCTGTATATCTGTTTGTTTCAATTTCCTCAGCATCCATATTCAAGAAGGCAGGTAGCCAGTCATAAAGTACGATTTTCTGAGTAAGAAAGACGTAACTGATCAGTAATATAATATGTGACCTTTTATGTACCTCCAAACCCTGTATCTGTATAAAGAACTAATCAGACACTTGTCAAGGTCCAAATAATGTATCACACAATGTTTCGTAAACTAAATCCCAGTAGTTGGACAGATGTTGATAATTCTTTGTAAAGTAAAACAAGTGGGCGCAAACAAATTGAATGATTTTTAGTACAAGGTCCAATTTAGGCAAAACGTTGGATGGATTTTGAATTGGCCTCATTCAAAAATATTCAGGTAGCATCCTTTTTAGCATTTGTAATTACCTGGTAAGTGGCAATGACCCACTTGCGAGCTTCATTGAAGATGCGTTCATCATTCCACTCATAACGGTGATCCATGGTTGAATTGTAGATTTTGTCAGCCCAGTAGTTGTGCCAGCGGAACCACAATATGCCAAAGGTCAGCAGGAATGGGTTCTCATTGCCACGAGGGTTTCCAAGTTCTAATGGTACAAAAGTTTGAAAACACTCTTAATGTGCCCTTAATCTACCGAGATATGTGCACGGATGATGTCAGTTATTTTTACATGTATGCTTTCTGATAGAGCTTGGAATCTATGCCCCCTTTAGGCTCCCATAAAAAACTACGTGGGGAAGTCAGGTTGCTTTGTGTTTCTTTCCTCGCCTTCCACCTCTGGGGGCCTGGGTTCGAATCCACATGTGGATTTGGTTTTTAGTCCCAACTAGAGTCTGTGGATTCCCCCGAATCATTTATCCGGGCTTTTCCTCTGACCTCTAAAACTGAACATTTTTATCATTCTGTAATTAGTATAAAGTAAATGTGCTATTGAATATAAATATCAATAAATGAAAGTAAATAAAGAAACATGTCAACAAAGTATGACACAGTCAGTACAGAAACTGTAATTGAGTTCCAGTGTGGGGAAAAAGGTGGAAGGAACGTCCATACTCACTGAAGAATCGTCTTACATTCCTGAGAACGTGATCTTTGGCTTCTGCTGGGGGCGGCACATTTGCCATGGGAAGACCTATCGTGTTCTCCTCTGGGAAGCCCTTCTCATTTGGGTTGTTCTTGGAGTTGTCTGCCAGGCGACCACCCTCGAAGGATCGCAACGCATCAGCCCAGGCCTTGGTGGTTCCATACACCAGACCACCGTCGATCCATGGGGTTATTTCATTCAACTGCATGGATTTAAGGAGGAACAGATAGATTCCATGAAATGGAAGGCCTTTCTGTTATTTTCTCATAGAGTCTGTTTCAAAGGTGTATTTTTGTCAAGAATAAGTCAATTTCTAACAGTTTAAGCCTATACACAGATACACATATCAAAACACTGTATGATCACTATTGTCCAAGATTGTGGGATTGTGGCAGGAAGAAGTGGGTCCGAGTCCCATCCTAGTAAGCTTGAGCATTTTTTCACAAGTTCTCGAAAAAAACACCGAGCATACAGTGTTATGAATATATATATCAGTGTAAGGGCAAACCCAGTAAAAACTGAAATTACTCTGATGCAAAATACATTTTTGGGTATAAGGGTAAAACCCATAAAAAGTTTTAAATTGCAGAATCTGCAGCTGATTTTATGAAACTTTAGGCAATGGCATAACAAATTAAGACCGATTTCGGTAAACTTGCTTAAGTCTTATGAAACAAATCATGGCTTAAAATGTGCAGTTATTTTAGGTTGTACAAGATGCGCGAAACGTAGCCATAATAAATGATTTGACCAGCTTATCATGTTCAGTAAAGCCTCATCATTGCTGCTCTTAACAAGGCTTACACAAGAAAGGTAAATGTTGTTGTAGAAGGTCCAGAAAAACTTGTTTGGCTATGAGAGAACTGCAAGATTTTCTGTCCGGTTCTGATGAGGAGAAGTGGAAAACTATTCCAAAATGGCAGGTGGAGGTGATTTAATGACTGTTTAATGACTGTTGGGATATTGGAAAGTAGCAACTATTGTAAAAGCCGATATTGTCCTCATCCCAAAAATTTAATGTTATTAAAAAGTGGTGCAGCTACGGAACTTGCGTGAAATCGAACGCAAGTATACTGCGCATCTACAGCATAAATTTTCAGCGCAAGGCTTACGCATGGTTCAGAGTTACGTCACATTTCGTGAAATTGGCTGCTGGTGCCTCCACAAAGAAAAAAGTGGTCTCCTTGCGGTATTACCTGTTCACGGGGTACGTTTGGTGAATAACCAGTGTTGAAGCTGTAGCGGGTTCTCAAGAATGGAATGAAGTCCACGGGACCATGTGAGTTGTTTTTAGTCATGTCCTTGTACTCGTGACCCTCTGGAATTTCAATGTTCTCATACTCAGGGGGACAACCTGCCCCTTGGGCATCCAAGATCTCTTCAACAACTTGTTGTCCTGGTGGTTTAAAAAGGATGTGTTAGAGTCATAACTCGAAGCGAAGTCATATGCTTAAACCAGCATCGGCAGAAGAACTTCAAAGTAGAAATGTCTTCAACTGCAAGAGCATTCAGCCAAGATATGAAAAAATAATTCATTTAGGAAATAAACCCACTAGCACTAAGTATACTATGCAGGGATGGTACACACAATTCCAGCAGCAAATATTAGAGGAAGTTGAAATATTTGAATAAGTTAAAGGCTGCCTAAATTTAGTCCTTGTTTGCCTATACAAATTATTGACAATTTATTTCAACCTCTCTTCCTCTCACTTAAAAGGCTTCCGAGTCAAATTGACAGTGCAAAACCCACCGAAGAATGTCATGAATGCTGTCCGGTTGAGGAAGGACGGAAGACCAGTGTCGCCCCTCATGGTCGCCTCACTAACGTCGATTGGGTTAGGTCTGTCCTTCCCGGCCATCATGTACACACCATCAGCATAGGCAACAGGAAGTCTTCTTGTCAAAGGAAGCTCTGGAAAAGAAAAAGACTCTTGAAAGTACTGAATAACTTGAAGAAAACAGAAGGCAGAAAATGTAGATCTGGATGGACCACTAAAAATAAGGTGTCGTCCCACAACAATTTTCTACAGATCTTGGTAGAAGTCACCTGTAGAATTTCTCAGTTGACACAGGGTGCACAAATGCTACAGCACAGAGTGTCCACAAACTGCCATTAATGTACATACTAATCACAAAGACTATACACAGGGATTGGAGGTGATACAAAATCCTCAAATCAAAATAATTTCTCAAGCTTGCATCCAGCCCGTTGGGCTCTTTGGGCTGCATTAATATAATGCGAGGTTACATTCTTAATTTTTTACCTGTTTCCAAATATTATCTACATTTAGCAAGTCCGACTAGTTGTGAACTGACTTTTGTTACTCAAATTAAACTTTCAAAATTTTTCTTTCACATCAAAAACTCATCGCCAAATGTTGCATCTTATAGAAATTTTAAAACTGAGGTTTGTCCTTTAACAATCTTTCTTTGCATCAGAGATGTTCCCAGATTCTAACTGGCCCCAATTCACTTGATGGCCAAGTGGAATGCACGAGTAATTAGGTGTATCTGCCCTAGTTAGAAGCACCCATCATCATGAAGAGACAGCCTGGTGGAGCAAAATTTCAACTTGGGGCACAACGCACGTGACTACTGTGTATTTTAAACAAGTTGTTTGCTCGTACTCAGCACATCTTGCACCAAAGAGCATAAGCCTGTGCACACACATAGACACAGTATTTTCCCACCAGAAAGGGCATCATTCTCATGCAAAATTATGCCATCCTTTGTTCAGAGGATACCCAGGAGGCAGATTTCTTTTCTCAGCACTCTTGAACATCAGCAAATGTAGAGACCAATCAGAAGAGATGCCATACTTGGGATGGAGGCTGGCATGAATTTTGAATTCCAAAGATCATAGTCAAAGCAATCCATGGTACCATCACAAGTGACAGCTATTTACAGTGTTTAAGGTGAAATCAATTTGGCACAGGTGATACCAGATCTTGAAAAGAAAGTCCTCCCCTATCTTTATGTAACCACTTTTACAAACCTGATCCACCCCAGTCGGGATGGGCCATGTTGTTATACCAGCCATCATATCCTTCGTACTCTCTGTGGTAATAGTCGAAAACACCGATTCGCTCTACAAAGGCATAAACAAAAGAAAAGAAGTTACAACCTGCCTTGTAGCAATGTTTTGTTTAACCTAAACTGGCACTGGCATAACAGACTTGACTAAACGCATTTTGTTTGTTTCAAGTGTAAAAAGTGCTCAAATGAAATTTCCAGGATTTCACATCCCAGGACCAGTTTTATTTCATTTTTACATCACTTCTTTTCTACATCGCGACAATAATAACGGTCAGTTGCCATCATATTACGGATATGCCCCAAACTCAAGTGGCTTTGTTTGAATATGTGAATCAAAGCTAAGCCACATATAAAAAAAACCATTCCGCTGTCAGCTATTCACTAGGATATAATAAACTGGATTGCTGAAGTATTTGAACCTATTAAACCTGGTATGCTTTGAAGAAATAAGAGACATTGCTTTTGCTTTAAATAGAAAGTGGATTAAAGACAACGGAGGATAACAGAAGGGGGGCAATCAGGGACCATTTGACACTCTCAATAGGAAGCCAAAAGGGAGCCACTGTTACTGGAAAACTAATGAAAAGGGTTGTCTTCCTCTACCTTTTCCCTTCCTTAGACCATGCCTCAGAAAGGCCATAAAATTATCCAATTTTTTTTTGCCCCCGAACTTTATGCCCCTCAAAATCTGGTTCTGGATGTACACTTTCTCGAGGGCACAGGACCACTCTATAGATACAAGGTTGCTAGTGTAGGGTATGCCCTCCTCATGTGATGCAGCAAATTACGAAGTGACTTGGACAAAAGTAACCTCTGAATATGAAATGAATTACTGTATGATAGTTTTGACTATCGAACAGAAAATCTTACCTTCATATTGTCTCCGTTCTTCAGGACTTAACATGCCATCATCAGAAGCTAGAAAAGGACCAGAAAAAAATGAAATCTTAAAAAAGTCCAAGTCTGCATTGAAATGCATGACGACTTTGGAATGAAAATGACATGAACTGCCAGCTGTTACTTTTGCAAGTTTGAAGTGGGGATACCAGCCAGTGATTTAAGGAAATGCCCTTATTGGAATCTTGTAGGAAAAAAGACAGTTATTAGCAATGTATCATTAGTACATGTAGTTACTAACTATTCACCAACTTTAAACCAGATGGAAGTACATACATGTACATGTGATTGCAATTTTGGAATGTTGTGCCCCCAGCAAGACCCGAGTCAATTGATTAAAATTCATTAATGGCACCTTGCTTTGGTGTACTACATCTCACACTGGTGGACAATTCAGATGTAAGATGCGGTACGCATTAACATTTGAAGATCCAACACCAAAAAGCTGTTAGGACCTCTGACTAGTTTTTCGGATGGTGTTTGAAGCATGTGATTTATGCATGTGAAGCAAAAAAGTTAAGATAAATAAAATAAAAAAGGAATATGATGATTACACTTGGTCTTATGACACCTAAATCCTCAATTTAATGCTCCGTTTCCCGACAAAGAAGGCCAGGTCACTGTCATTACAAAACAGAGCAGGACAAGCTCCGAGTTGAATATGACAGACACAGCGGCCTGTGCAACATAAAGATAAAGTCCCTTGCTTTCTAAACCTCAATGGGTGGACATGCTCAGCATAAAACACTTCCATAAACTCCTCTGGTAAAATCCGATGATGTAGAGAAAGTGACAAAACAGCTGATAATAATTTGAACCTCTTCCATTTGATGGATTAAAATACATTGGCTTTGAAACAGCCGTCCACTGGCCTTTCTTTTGTTTACAAACACTGACCACTTCTTTGTATTATGGATGATCACAGTTTGCACAAACATCACCCTTGGTGTGAACAACTTTGCCCTACCCTCTTGCTTTGGCTGTATTAAAAATGAAAACCAATTTCAGTTAGTATTTAGCAGCAGTCCTTAGTTTAATATCTGCATGAAAGTTTTGAACACGTTGTGCATTATTCTTCAGATTTTTTTTACTCCCAGCTAGCCATACATTTGAAAGCATTTGCAACTTTATAGCAAAGAAAGGTCTATGAAGGTTGCCCAGGCGCTTGATCCAGGCACAGATACTTCCTCTTCCTGTCAAGAACAGAATCCAACACATTGGCATTTGTTGATATCTCTTCGCTGTTTACAGAAGGATTTGTTAGAAGGTAAATCAGTAACACAAATGTATGCAAGCATTGAATGAATGCCCAGCACTGAACAACATTTTAATTTTTCTATGTGCTGATGATAAAATTATGAATTAGCTACAGTGTTAAATGAAATTGTATAAGGAAAGCAAGATACTACATTCTACATCTCAAAAATGATGGTAACCAGGTTCAAAAATAAAAGTTTTTAAAAGACAGCTAACAGAAAACAAACTTTTGCGGTAAAGTTAGGGGAAATGGTATGGTGTTTAAATCATCGCCATTACGAAAAAAATTTTGGCACAGAGATTAACTCTGAGTACATTTCTATCCCCAAGTCAATGACATGTACACCACATGGACAAAAGAATTTTTTGATGTAAATGGTCCAGAATTACATTCAAATAATGTAATTTTCAGACTGTGTGGCAAGGGTCAAGTTTCTATTGTGTCTTTTCATGTATTTTAAAAGTTTTAAGTAAGCAAATAACACCTTCTTGTTTAATTTTTCATTAATAAAATATACACCTAAAATTTGTCAAAGTAAGTTATATGTTTCTCCGATCTGAGTTACTTCACTGGTTCTCATGCTAAACATAAAAAGCAAAAATAGGGACCAAAATGGAAGAAGCAAAGAAATACTATCCCTAAGGGAAATGAGAAATGTAGAATGGTGCAAAAATAAGCATGGTTCTAGACCTTAATGATCATCTTTTATAGACAGAATATTTTTTTAACATAAATGTGAACATAGACCTTTGAATGTTTGGAGATGGGACTTGAAAAGTGGGGCTTGAGGTTTGACAGACTTTTTTGGTTTCAAAATGCCAGTCTTTGGCATGTATAGAACCATGCTTTGTTTTGCTTTTTCCGCCATGAACTCAAATGTGAGTGTGATGAAGCAGCAGCGGTGACTTCAGCCTGGGATAAAAAATTGACAGCAGGATAAATATTTCTGTGCAATTTCAAAGCAACCTGAGGTAGGTTGGACACCACTGCTGGTCGTTGGAGGTGCCATGGTCCCAGGGTTTGCAGTGGGTAGTGCTCCTGTAGTTGCCATGGGAGTTGCTCCTGTTGTTATAGCAGGAGGTGCTCCCGTTGTTGCAGCATTTGACTCTGTTGTTGGCATTGTTACTGGCATTGTTACTGGCACTGTCGTCTCCTCTGGCATAGTACCTGTTTGTGCTGCAGGGTGTGTAAGTAATGTAGAAAAGTATTCACATACTCGATATCTCTAGCTCATATTATGCAAACAAATTTCTTCCTTAGGCCTTGGTGAAAGCACAAAAACAACTGAAAAAAGGTTTTGGGAAAACTCCACTAATGCTGTATTATTCTTAAAGGCATCACGGTACAAAAGAAAGGACTCCTATTTTTCAGATCAAAAGTTTGAGTCACACACGAGTAAGGTTGTGAATTTTTTTCCGCAAGCTCTTGGACAAGCACTGAGCATACAGCGTTTATCAATATATACGTCGGGTATGTGTCAAAAGTAACCATTCTATTATTTGGAAACTCCTATTGGCCAATAAAACCTAATTAAGGGTTAACTCAAAGTAGCAAAGAAGTGACAAAATGGAAGATCAGAAGATATAAAGTTTACTTTGTGTAGGGAGGTTAAGATTATGCTTGCCCTCGAACAAATAATAAGCAATGACAGGTGAGGACTTTATGAGTGAGGCAGTATACAAAAAGTACATTTGAATAACTGGTGGACTGAGTAAATTTGGCTTGAAGAAATAATAATAATCTCTGGGTGTCAACTGCCAGAGTAGTGTGTAGCGCACTTAAGCGACTTGGTGTCATCCAAATAGTAGATGCTGTTGGCTTAGGGTACAGGAAAAAGAGCAACTTTCAAACTTGTTAAAGCCGCTTGTATAGTAACCTAACTTTCTTTTTTGAAGGTTGTTTTGAATCTATATATTATTGCTGAAGGTTTGCCACAGTAAAGTGGTTTACCTTTTGAAATAAGCTTTTTTTTATAGTAAATGTCTAGATTAATGAGTATGCCAAAGCCAGTCTGATGGCCAATGACGCAAAGGAAAACTCAGAGCAAGAAAGGTTAAATACATAGGAAGCTGGAAAACCTTCCTTTCCGAAATTGCATTATGATGACAATGACACATATGTTGACCAATCAAAGGATTTGAACTGTTAATTTAATGAAGAATTGTTCTTTTGCTTATTAAAAGGGTATTTGGTGTTAATGCAAATTTCCACATTTTAAAGCAAAACTGTGGTGCCATTCCAGGGAGAAACCTCAATATTACATTTGATTTGTGTATAAAAACTGCTTAATTTTCCTTCATATTCTGTTGTTCTAATTTGGCAATAAGCCAACGAGCAACTCTTTCTCCACAGTGTTTTCAATGAGAAAATTTTGCATTCACACTTTGAACAGAAAAATCACTGAGCAACATCTTCCAAAATTGACATCGCGGCAAAGGCACCCTCTGTTTTCTGGAAAAGGACGGACAAATAAAAAGGTTGAAACAAGGGTATTTATCAATGCACCTAAACCCACGACAAGGGTCCTATTACTTTCAAGCATTGAAGAGAAGAGTAAAGTTGCACGAAAAGTGCATGTTAGAAAACTTTGTCGCCTGGACCCTTTCAGAACATATGATCCACTTCTCAGATGATGTCTTATATCAGCCACCATAAGCTCTCAATGAGGATGGATCTCATGCTTTTTGAAGTAACAGACTGCTCTACAAAGCCCCTTCTACTGCGCATACTCAGCACATACATGTACTGTCCATGTACTTCTTTTCAGTACCACACTGCACAACCTGTCCCTGCTCATTACATGTACCAACATGCATATTTGGGTCCTGTGCTTTCAAACTGGAATCGTGGCTACAATTGTTCAAAACATCAGAAGGCTGGCCATACTGAATCAGTCTATTACTTGCTACTTTAGCTTGGTTTATCAAAGTCTTGATTCAAAACTTTCTTACTCCTTAAAAATGTCAATGTTGAGAAACTTTCAAAGGTTCCTGAAATCTAAATAAGCTTTTTCAAAATCCCGAAAGGTTCTGGAGAGTACAAGGTTTCGGGGAAATGACTGTTGTTTTTACTTTTGTAACCTGTGGCACCTTAAGTATTGAAAATTGAAAATTCTCATCTTGAATCAAGACTAGATTTTTAATCAAACAGAAAAGGAAACACCAAAAAAAAAAAAAGAAGAAAGGCAACCACCTTTAATGAATGGGGAACTGAAAGTCATGCAAAAACATGCACAGCTCTTCATTATTCCATTGACTGGTCTTTAGCCCTACATGTATTTCCCTAGGGTGTATGTGAAATCATATTGATTTTGCAGGATTCGGGACTGCTATGGGATTTTAATTGGCATTTTGTTAAAGTAAAAGTACCTGTACACATAGCTACATTGGACGCATTGCATACTACGCTAAGAAGTAATAACCTTTTTAAGTGGGGGTTTGTAGGACAGCATTTAAGACATGACTGTGATTTTTGCTCAAATAAAAACATGACAGTGATGGAGCAGTGGTGACCTCAGCCGATGAGAAAGTCACTGATATCAACAGAAATCGTTCTGAACAATTCTACAACCTGTCGCAGGTTGGACACTACCTCCAGATGTACCACTAACAATCCTGGAAGTGTCAGTTGCTGCTGTTGGGGATGATTCTACAGCTGTGGACAGTAGTGTCGTTTGTGTTGTTTGTGCTGTAGGTTCAAGTATTGAAGAGTTCAAATTTCAAACCATTTCCATTTTATTGCTTAAACAGTACTGTTTTTACAAAATAGATGCAAATCAGTTCCTTTCCAATTCAGTTATTTCAGTTCCATGAAACATAACATTAAAAACTGTGAGAAAAGTGACTCATTAACAACTGTGCAAAAATGCATGCCACATAAAAATTAAATGATATTCGATTAAACCAATCTTTATGAAAGATTGAGTGAAAAAAAAATTATTGTGCTAATACACTCTTCGCCACCTTACAAATCCCTGTCAGAAGTTTTGACACATGAAACAGCTTTCTGTTGTGATTCTGGACAACAAGCTGTGGGTGAAAAACAACTGGTCTTCAAGAGTTTAAATTATGAAACTTTGGTTTATGGTAACAGATTGTTATGAGCATCTAAAAATGTTGGTCAAAACTAACAAATATAAAACATAAAATGCTTCATTTTTCAATGCTACTTTTTTATGACATCAAGAAATACATCATAAATGTACGAAAATGAACAAAAACCAAGAACAAAATCCTACTTTTAATGACAACATCAGTCCACCTGCGGAAAACACACATTACTTAAGAAGTATAGAAAGTGCCGGGGGCCGGAGGGAACCAAACTTCAACGACTTGCACTCTCAAATGACAATCTTACGCCCCAACTATAGCATCAGTCCCAATTATAGTTTGGCCCGTCCCAACTAGAGTGCTACAGTTGGGCCGGCCCAACTACAGCACAGAGGTCCTGCGCGCATGTGCCCAGCATGTGCCAAAGTCACATTGTTTACAACTGAAGTTCCACATTTTAGATGAATTGTGTCAAGTGTGAGACACATTGACTTGGATAATGTTGAGATATTTCCCACAAACATTGGTCAACAATAGTTGGGCCAGCTCAACTGCAGCACTACAGTTGGGACTGTCCCAACTATAGTTGGGACTTATGTTATAGTTGGGGCGTAACAACAACATTGCCCCATTTGATGGGGCTGACTTTCTCAACAATTACAAAACTTTTGCGTTTATGGGGGGGGGGGGGTTATTTCATTAACCAAGATAAATGCTTTTTAAGGGATTCAGGTAATTAATACCAATGGTGCGATCTCTTGTCAATGTATTTTGACACTTTTTACCCTTTTGTTACCCCTCCTAAAAAAATACAAAAAGAATTGAAGAATACACCGTGCAGCCGCGAAGCTTTTTTTTCAAGACCCATCGTGGAGTTCAAAAAAGTGAAAAGGCACAAAAGTGGCGCACTTCTCCCAATAAAAAGAACACAACTTTGGGGGGTTCTGGGTGAGCGATGTCATTTTTCAGGGCTGTCAGGGAACGTTTCCGGCCGCTGGCTCGAGAATGACAAAAAGAATCGTTCTGGGTTATTGCCCTGTCCAACCGACCGTATGCAACGTCAGACGAAAAACTCCCCACCTTGGAGAACCTAATACGTACAGGAACACAGGCTGCAACAGGGCAAGCGATGGCCCTTGCAACTAAGCGAATACGATCAAGTCGCATTCTGTGAATTTCGGTCGAGATCTTTATCAGGTTTCGAAAGATCCCACATTCTGGCAACTAGTACAAGTAACGGTATTTCACCTGGTCTCTGCGCAGAACACCGTTTAGGCGTGAGAGACCTTTAAAAGGTGGCGCAGAGATAATAACATTCTTTCCTACAGAGCTGCGTCACGACTGACGCGTATGACACTATCCAACGCTTGAATGAACAAAATTATTGATCACTCATCAAGCAGACAAGAACACACGCTACTACCCCTGGCAAGACCCATCAGCCATTTGAAAGCTTCCCAAACACGTCCAAAAGTCAGATTTAGCAGTGAAAATACCGAGTATTCGCTTACAAACACCGAATTTTCCAGACCAGTCTCTTGGGTTTGCGAACAGGGTGTCAAGCGGCGTTCGTATTTTTCTTCCCACGGTTTCGATCTTGATAAATGCAGAATGCACACGTACAATGTAGTAATGCGAAGATCGACCTCTCTCTGCTAATCAAAACTCCAGTTTGTTGAATTTTTAAAACTTTACCGGAACAATTTAATGTGCATGCCCTGTGTCCATAAGTTCTACGCCCCAGGCAGATGATAACCGACCGAAGGAACTTCCTCTACAGTGTTCACCGCTCTAAGGTTCCACTAAAAAAAGCCAAAAAACGCCCTTGTAAAATAGAACTTCATCATGGTTATGCTTACACGTACACAGGGCGGAATCTAATAAATTTAGTATATACGAAAGGCGTTTTTATTTCCGGGTCCATATACAGTGAAGAGCTTAGGCACTGTACGGACTATCACCTGCAGTCTTCATCCACAGGAATGTTGTCGTGACAAGTACAAGGGCAATTCTTGTAAATATACAAAAAGAACGACAGTTGTATACCCCATAAATCTGCACCTCTGTGGTGTGGGAAACAGCCTTACCGCCCAGTGTGCAGATCGATTTTGATTTTAAACATCATTTCGTTCACTCACCGAAACTCGGCCGAGCACCCCATCCGAGAATTCCGATGCAGACCAGCAGGCAGGCCCGCAGAAACTCGCCCCGACGGGCCATCTGTATGTGACGACGCAGCTCCCGGGCACTGATTTAACTCGAACTTCTTTGCGATGTGGGTAAAAAGTACGAGGAGAGATTCGAGAGATTTTCTAATGTCGAGAAAATTCTACCTCAGCTTTTCCCCCGAGCCGCAACTCCGCGTAGTCCACTCACCAAGATTGCTTTCCTGACCGCGAATCTGTATTGGGTGTGCGTTCGTAGCTAACCCTACCTTAGCTCTATTTTTTCCCTCCCCAAAGCTGTTTCCTTTTCTGTGACACTGGCCATTCACAGAATGCAGTCAGGCGAGGCGGTCCTTCGCAGTGTAAAAAAAAAGTTTTACATAAGTTATGAATATGTATAACCCTCTGTCCTCGAGTATACTACATTGTTGTCCTTCCGCACACAGAAAAGTAGGTCCTGAAAAACAAGGCTCTTGAACCATGATCATTAGCACTTACGAAAGCTGGCTGTGTTCAAATATGCGCTAACGGTGTTTATTTTTTCAGCTCATTTTAGGAGCGTATCTTGATAGATTTGATATCCTAGTCTTTATTAAGTCATAATTCATTCTTTTACACATCATTTCATTTTATAAACTTTTCCCTATTATACAAATCGTTGACCAGGTTCATGCGTTTGGTTAAAACTGCATATAACATCAAAAATGCACAAAACTAATTAACAAAATTACAATGTAATCAAAAAAATTTACATAAGTGTGTTAACGGCAAATCAAACCCCCAAAATAATGAGGATAATACTGTCGATAAAGCAACGGATGGTGAGATTTACAATTTACCACTTGTACTTGTACAATTTGTACAATATGACATGCTTTGCGATGATCCTGGGAATAAAGAGTACACTAACAACCATACTCAAACACAAACAACACCGAGAGAACGTACATGTACACGCTTGATGTTTTAGACGAATTAGCACCCTCGATCAATACAGCAATGGTTCAAACGTACGGCTGACGCACGTGTGAATTTCCTGGTTAGCGTCTCGCACACCGTCATTCTGTGACGCACTTTACAGTGTGGTAACGTTTCCTCATTCTTATCTTCTACCGACCAGATTCCTCACGTAGAAGGGAGCCCAGGACAGAGAAAGACGTGGATGATTTCCTGAGCCGGAAAACGACACAGGAACTTACAAACTTTTCAGGTTTAAGCCAGAAAATGTTCATGTCTACAACAGTTCACAGACGACCAGCCAGGGTTTTCTTTAGGTGGCCAGGGACATTTACGTGTCGAACGGGAACATTTTGGTGTGGAAGAGTCATTGGAATAAGTAAAGGGAAGCCGGCAAAGGAGATTTGAATTTTCTCGAAAAGATATGATTAGGGAACTTAACGCTGGTCAACACCAGGCCCATATTTGGAAGGTCAATGACTATGCTCAAGAGGTCACACCATGACTTCGTACACTACGGTAAAACTTGCATTTTCCGCCATGCACTGGTCTATTGGATATCGTGTACATTACATTCTATTAATAACTCCTGGGTCGTACCGATTCGGAATCTGAATCAATATTTACTCATAGTTTCGGGTAAAAAAAGACAATTTTCGGGGTCAATACGATCTATTCATGTGTTGGTTCGACCTAAGAAGTGCAAATTTTTGACCAACAAAAAGACTGGACAATGCGGAATCAGATTCCGGGTCACTGTAGGAGTCTTTTAAATATCACAATCGCGAGTTTGCCTGTGATATGGAAACTTAAGGTCGGCTTGGGCATCACACCTGAGTCAGAACCTATACACGGGGAGAATTACACATTCATTATGACGATGCATTCTCAACACTGAGTTTTGTGGATCTAATCAGGATGAATGATATTGACGAGTTTGATATTTATTCAGACGAATGACCTTAATACAGAAAGTCCGTGTAAGCTTGCCCTCCAAAAATACTGGACATGTACTACCGGGCCTATACAATGTACGTGCAATCTTTCGAATGTAGACTAAGCCCCTATTCCAAACATGGAAATAGCCCTGCTTGACTAAAACAATACATACAAAACCCAATTGCATTCGAACCGATAAGGGCCTAGATAGCTTTTAGGATCAACACGAACATAGGAGCCATACCGACGGTAAATATAATATTTGAAACATAACCTAGGACAACAAATATCGTTTACATGACAGAACCATGAAATGATCTATTAACGATCATCGGGATGGAAACAGCAAAGGGATTCTGTGTCTGGCATATTGAATGTTTTATAAAGCGAAAAGTACCCAGCGAAAAATCAATACATTCTCTTCAGAAACACCATACTTTAGAGAGGCTCGGTGGAGACAGATCTCTTGTCTCAACATTCTGGAGAAATGACCCATGGTTGTATTGAATTCACAACAATCAATAATCCCGCACTTCGACCAGGCAACCCTCAAAAGACGTGCAAATAAATCAAAGGTCTGCCTATGACACGACCTACGTGACAAACCAAGTTCATCATTCTTGCGAAAGGACCTGGGAATTCCCTAAATTCTACCAACGTTCGAATGCGAGACACCCCCAATAAAGCCAGGTGCATTCTCATGATGTGACATTTGAAGTCAATCAAAATACATGTAAAAGAACGAGTAGTTTCGGCCACTGTGGGAAACATACAAAGGGTAGGCCTACAATACTGGGGATAATGTTGAATCACTGCACTTCGTTTGGCAGACTCTATGACACATATTTTTGACCAGCACATTTTACATGTTGAAAACTTTCTAAATGGGGGGGGGGGTGATGTTTCAATAAAGCTTGCAGAGAATTGCAGAACTGTGTGTGATCCTTTATTACCGTATAAGTCTGTGACGGTTAAGATTACATGCAATGAATTAAAAAAAATGTATTCGGCACAGTCCCATAATACAGAAGTCAGGGGAAATGATAATGTTATTCAGTTCCCGGTGGCCTTTCTCACAGGACGTTGTCACATGTAGGTTTAATTAAGCACTGCAACGAACAAATCTTGATAAATCATGCCAGAGTTCAGTTTCACAGATGAGGCACAGCTTCACTCGATCATCGAAATTTGAGGCTGCAAGCCTTTCCCAAACCACAAAATGGTAACCAAAGTAACACGCCTCACACACGATATGCTACAAAAAATTCTATCCCAGGCCATAGAAAAGTGAAGGACGGAACAAACATGGGAAAACAGGAAAAGTATGGCTTGCACAATGATCTGGCTTCCTGGATTTTTGACCGTCATTGTGCAAAGAGTGCGAGAAATGTTTGCCAGAAGTTTCACCGTTGCCTTCTCGATTCGTAAAAAATCTATCAGATCAGAACGGATATGACCAGCACAAATCGAAATCTGATGGAGCTTGTCAAGGAAACAAGTCAACGAAAAAGCAAAGGAACATCTACGAATGCCAAATTGTGCCACATAAAAAAATCCGTTGTCTACTAATTCGTTATACTAACTCGTTATTACGAACTCCTAATTCTTAATAACAGATTCGTAATAACGGGTTAGTAATTCGTAATAACGAATTAGGCCTAGTTGACGACATATGTTTTTTTTTCTGTGGCACGATACGGCTTTCGTACTACGTACGTCAAAAGTACTACAGTGATTAAAACTTTCCGGCAGATAAGTATATTCACAACTGCAAGAACTCAATCTTTCTTTGCACAGAAATATTAAGTCACTAGCGCACAGAAGAAAACGGGACGGGGAACCCAATTCAAACGCAAATTTTAAGCTGTCGTCGTCAAAACTCAATCCACAATAAGCTCCTTAGATTTTCAGTAGTATCGTTTGTCCTGCAAACACAGATTATAACGTAGCTGGGTTCAACAAAAGCCCATAGCCAAAGTGTAACTGCGAACGCAACCGAAAACGTCAAGTGGGATATTTTGCGTTGCTGATTTCCAGACATTAATTTTTGGGTTCCAACTTTCGCGAATTACGTTGCAAGCGTTCTGGGAAATTGAATTCTAGTTTGCTTCTGTTCTTTCTGACATCACAGGATAGTAAAAATTGAGACCGGTCGGAGTAATGCAAAAAGAACGAGAAAATGTGACTACGCAGCAAGTAGTCGGACTGGCCACATTACAAGACGTCAAATTCCCGTTGCATTTGCTTGAAAAAGAACTGGCCGTAAACTTTATTCTGACAAACTAATCTTTAGGCCTACACTAATTTCGGTGAGAAGTTCACAGAGATTTTGCAGAGTCACAAACGTTCGTTTGATATGGCAAATTATGGATTTGGACACAGAAACCGACGTAAACATTATGAGACTATTTCAACAGAGGAAGTGAGGCACACACCCCTGGGTGACAAATTCTTGGGTTCACACATCATTCCGCTTCCTCTCTCTACTTATGGAGATATATCACTCCGCTATGATGATCTCAGTCCTAGCCCCGCCCACAACGACAAAGCTGTTGCCATCTGTGCCCACGTAGAAGAATGGAAAATAAAATGGAAAATGCTGACGTAATTCTTGCCAGCACCATCACTGTCTCACCGAGGACTTACGCAAACAGTGTCTATTGTTCACGAAAACCCGGTTGCCTTCATAGCGTTCCTTGTTCACCAAATTCAACACCCGCACGTACGTACATGTAAATGTCACCCAGAAAGGGTGTACTCTTGCATAAATAATGAGCTATTAAACGCACGACAAAAGTTTCTTTCACACCCTGCCGTGCTGTAGCGGGTCAGTGGATCCGTAACACGGAAAAACTTGGGCAAGGCATAGGAAAGTACTGTCGCTCGAAGAATTGACGTATCAACCCTAGAATATTTTCCTCCTTTAACATCTATTTCAGCAGCGCCACTCTAAGACCACAGTTTCCCTTGATCTGAAGTTCTAGGACGTCCATATTGAAGCTGGAACTGGACTTAAAGCGGAATTTGAACGGCGACGAGATATAGTCCAGTTGAAGTTCTCCCTCTTTCACGAGACTTCGTAAAACCCAAGTCCCACAGCCATCATGGGGATCCCGTACAGCGTCCTTCGGGAGAAGGGGACCCCGGCCATATATCCCCCCAACAAGACAGCAGTCACCCTGGATGTGACTGAGATGGGATTCGTCTTCGCTTTCATCTTCTTGGCGTTTTCCTTTCTCATCATTTTGCCGGGCATACGGGGCAAACAGGTAAGTGACTCGTACACAATGTACATGTATTTGCAGAAGCGGTATAAACGATGCAAGGGGTGGAGTCAGGCGGGGGGGGGTTGAGTAATGGAGGAGTAATGACGGGTGTATTATCGTGTATAAAGCCAATAGACTTGGCAAAACCATCACGGAAAGAGGTCCATACACGGACATCACAAAGCGATCTCAAAAAGCCAAATTTAGCCGGGGAAATTTTACAGTTGACTTATAACGATCTTTCCTCCTTCCCAATAAAAGAAATCTATGCAATAATTTTATGTTTCAATATTATACATTAGTTACATGCTCGTGTTTTCCAGTTTTTTTCTTATTTTACCTTTTAACACAGTCTCAGTTGTTTGCCAACTGGGGCTACCCTGGGAAAATAATTTAAACAAATAAATAAATATACATGTGCATGCATCTACAAATTAAGAATGTGTAGGCCTACTTGAAATAATTACATTTTTGACAATTTCGCTCAGTAACTGCAGTATTCTTGCCCTCTTCTTATCTGCAGAGGTGGTTCACCTTGATACGCTTCGTCATAGCAATGTTCATTGGAGCTGGAATACTGTGTAAGTTTCCCGTCTTTTTTTTCGTATTCAACTCTGAACGTCCTCATGGATTTTACATGGCCACCATACTGAATCCAGCAGATTCTAGTCAAGTAAAGTTTGAAGTCTGCTTGGTTGGAAAAATAAAATCCCAGTGAGGAATTTGTACCCGCTTTCAGCAGCAACAGGCAGCCTTTGCAAATTTAAACAAATCGTTAGATTGAGCATGGTTTCAAAAATGCCTTAATTTTTTTAAAACACGGATTAACTGCTGATAAACACACGGAAGAGGTAGCATGAGTTTGGCATAAACATTACTCGCGCATATAGACACCGTTGCAACAACTGTACTTGAAGGAACTGATATTTCTTTCTTTCTTACGAATGGTTCAGTTTTATGAAGAGATAAGGGCTATTATTTACCCTTACAGCCCACAAATCCCTCAAGAGGTGTAGAGGATTGAGGACAGTTTGGATAAAACTATTCGTGGCATACATTTTGTTTCATTTGTTAAAATGTTTTGAATCACGTAAATCTTCAGAAAGCTTAGTTAATGAGTGACTAGTTTTTCTGAAATCTGTTTTTGTCTCAAATCTCGGTGCATCAGAATCTGCTCCCCCACTGCGGTATCCACATGAACATATGTGCATATACATTAATGAATGGCACATATATAAAACAATTAAGCTAGTCGATTGCCAATATAAATCCAGGATATTGGAATGCGTACATGAATATGTGCCATATTATTATCACAAGGCAGTACTTTCACCAGATCAAACACTGTAGGCATAAACCGGATCCAGGATCTCACGGAAAATTTACTCATGACCTCACTGAAAATTTGCTTATTTATGATAAGGGATGTTTTGACAAAACACAGATTTTTGTTGAAAAAGCTGACAAGATCTAGAATACATATGAAAAGAGGGAGATGAGAATACCCGCTATCTGCTGAAATAAGAAAGTAGGATACCTACGATATAGTAAGATAACTCTTGATTGTCAATTTATATTGGGAGATTTTATTTAAATTTAACTTTTGGTGGGGTTAAATATCAGAAACTGTAAATATCAATGATATTTGGGGGATTTGAAGTTGGTTTCTTTGGTTTAAAATGCAGAGACAGTACCCTCTGGTCATTTTAAATTATCTCAAAAATTACACAAAGAACAGGGGAAAAACGATGGTGGAAACTACCTGTCAGACTTTTCTTCTCCATTGCTGCATTGAAAAACCACAAGTTTCCCTTAAAATTAAATCTTTACTATAATTTTATTTATGTAGGTAGCAGTGACAGGGAAGATACTGACTTGCAAAAAAAATAACAGTGGTTGCTTGTGTCTTTTTAATGCCATCAAAGTAATCACACCAAATTTGCCTTTTAATTCTTAATTTCCCAACATGTGCATTGTCAGGATTTTTCAGAAGGGGGGGGCAGGGGTAACACATATTGGCAGTAAACTTACAAACCCTTGATGGCAGGAGGGGGGCCATATTGAGGTATTTTCAAGCAAATTGGACTTTTATCCCCTTTCGTCCATTTTCACTTTCTTCCTCTTTTTATTTATCTTTTTTCTACAAGGGTTCCCCCTTTCCCCATTCTCAAGACACCCCTGCTCCTCTAACAATCTTGCTTAGAGCCTTCCTCTTCAATCTTCTACTATGAAGAGAATCAAAGGCACATGCTTACCTTCCTGGGGCCATCAAGCCCATGAATACTGTAGTTTAAGTTAATGAACTCTACCTTCACCAATCCTACAAGATCTTACATATCTCCAAAGTCTGTAGGCTCAGTGGGGGTTTTGAGTTAATGTTGCGTTTCCTGAGTGACACTGCTGACTGAGAGAGATGCAAAGAAATGTATTAATTCAGTACACAGCATGTCTGCTGTGACATATAATAAAAACAAAGAGTGCTGTACATGTACATGATCATCCAAAAGCCTGACTTGGAGAACTTACCCTTTTGACCTGACATAGTGTCTGCCTGGGGCCAGGAATGGGAGAAAGCTGAGATCCACGAAACACACACTGCATACAAGGCATTCTACAGTGAAGAGATAGTGGCAGACATTGGTGTCAAGATTGGACTCAACAGCGTCAACATCACCCTCAAAGGTAATCACGATAACTTTTTCAATCGCATTCCTCATCTGTGTCATAAATTGTGATCTGTTGACTACATGAAAAATGGTACCAGAGTCATTTGTGACAGGAGTGTGTTCCAAGCCACCCTTTCAATATTTACAAATGTGGCTTACAATGTGAGGTATGCTGTACAGTTATTCGCTTAAACCATTCACCTCAGCAGACAAGTATAGTAATGAAATTATATATTTTTTTGCTGTCATTTCTGTTCCCAAGTTCCTAAAATAAAGTTTCCCTTGCTTACAGTTTAATATTGCCATCATGCCAATAAAGTCTGCTCAACAGATAAGTGATCAATCTGTTAATTCCCAAAAATATTGAAAGAAAAAGTGAAATTACCTAAAAAATGGTCTTGAAAACTGCAATTTTATGAATCACTTTTAAAGCATCCATCAGGAACATTGCAAGAGTGTAAATTTCTTTTCACTTTTTAAGTATCTGAGGAAAGAATTCCACATATGGACTCCACTTATTTTTCCCTACAGTCACCTTTTAACCATCTGAAAGCATAAACATGTCCTAAAAAGTCCAATTAATTAATTTAAGCAGAGAAAACATGAAGGTATTCACTTAGAAAACACTTCAAATTTTTAGACCAGCCTCATAAGGTTTGTGTACAGGGTGCAAAGCAGCATACATGTACGTAAATGTAATTCTGTTCCAACTGAAAAAATTCTTCAATTTGAGATAAGATTGATAGCCTACACCCTATAGAAACAATCCATCTTAATTTTTGTGCTTCTTGGGAATTTTCTAATTGTCTGTCAAACTTGGGCTCCTTCATTTTGTCATTACCAATGTCATTAACACGTAGATCTTGCACAAGGGAGCATCTAGTTTCTTAGCTTTGATGAGATAGCTGTGGATTCCTGAATTAGAAAACAACTGAGAAAATGGAAACAATGGGGAAATAGAAAATCAGTTAATGCAGATAGCCTGCAATAGTATACAAAAACCTGTTTTTCCCCAGTAACCCCATCAAAACCCAATGAGGTCAGTTCTACACCAAAGGTGGACATATCTCACTCTGCAGTAGAGCTTGTATTATCGAGTAATAATAAAACTTTCAAAACGAGAAAGAGAAACTGTAGGTACTACTAACAAAATAAATAAAAACCAACAAAACCAAAATGCATTTTCCCTTTATGAAGCACAAATATTGAGCTCGGTTGCAGAATGGCACATTTCCAGCTCCTATACAGAATTGACTGTTATCAGTTTCACAGAGAACTTCCTCTCTTGAAAAACATGAAGACAACAAGCTCGTCTTGGAAGAATATAGGACACAAATATGTACAGTTGCTCTGAAGACGAAAAAGGACAGTTTGAAGAATGGAATTCATGAAGCCCACTTGAAAATAAATAATATGCCAAACGAGGAAAGACTAAAGTACAACTGACATAGACAAGAGCACAGTTAATACAGGGTCAAATTTATAACAAAGGCCACTTTAGCTCCCAAGTCTTTTTTCTTCTGCTTTCCATTAATGATAATACATGTACAAGGTAACTATTGTTGTTGTTAACAGAGTTCCACTCGTCAGAATCTTTGTGATGTGCATTTGTGGGTGTTTTGTTTCTAAAAGAAATATTACAATATAATGTTCAGCAAAGTACATTGCCCTTTTGAGTAAAAATCTACATCCAATTCATTTAAACCCACACTGGGATTCTCAGGCATTCTCAACGATTTAGGACTGTTTAAAAGCAGCCACTTATGCAATGCACAATGTGAGACTGGATTAGAGCATTAAGCCCTATGTGGCTTAATCTTCTTGGTGCACACGTTGCTTGTCGGTCCATCATGAGTGTCAAGTATTCAGACTACAACAGCTGAATGCCGTCCGCCCTAAGCATTCAATGAAAAAACTGCAGATTTATGAAACCCCAGCTGTGTCTGAAACTCTGAATTACTTGGCTGTAGTTGCCTCCAGTTACCATAGAGTCGTGTATAATTTCAAGCCGCTGCAAGCGATTTGGACACGACTTTGGCCTTTGCTCCTCTGTTTGTCTTTTTTTTCAATGGGGTGGTTGTAGTATCCCGATTAATTTTTACCCTGCCCTCCAAATAAATTTTGATCCCATCTGACTACCTTTTCTTATGAAACAGCGACTGGAATTCTTGGTTTTTTCTCATTTGCAGCTCCAGATGGGAACATTACCACACACCCTGATGAGAAAATTAACTATAATGAGCGCTTTAACTTCTGGGGTGGCCAGGGGCGCCGAGGATTTGGACGTTTTGGTAAGTGCTAGACTCCAATTCTCTTTCTGATTGATTTTTCATGTGTACAGATCATGCAAACAGGCTATGAAATGTTCCCCGTCTATTAAAAGGAAACATGTGCTTGAATTCTTTTGCCTTGTCACCCATTCATCATAAAGAAATCAGATCCTTTGCAAAGATGAATTCAACCAGACTTTATTTTTTGGTTTGACCTGCCTTGTTTGATCTGTTCACAAAACTTGTGAAATAGGTTTAGTTCCAATGCCAGTAGTTAAAGGATGGCAAGTAGTTGGCAGCAATTCAGTATTTCCATTCATTCCTGATACATGTAAATGAAAAACTACATGTACATGTAAATGCACATCAGAAATGTCCCTGCTGTGAATACAACTGTGTCTTGTTCTGCTATTGTAGTCATTATTTGAGGTGTATCAAAGGGCTTTTGCTGGCGCTTTTTATAAAAGTGTATCTAATGAATCCTGAAAATTTCTGACTTCGTGCAGCAACATTTACCTGGCCTGCATTGGCAAGGTATGAATAACAGATGATTTTACATCAGAGAATCTGAGTCAAACGATAAAAATGCAAACACCAGGCTGATAATTGATCTTACTCCTTACAACCTAATCCTAAACTGAGAGTTGGCAGCACACTAGTCTGAAATTTGGGAGTTTCTTTAAGATTTCAAAAATAAATTCAGACAAGGGTAAGAATATGGGACAAGGCAGTTTGGGTTGTATGATGCCACCCTTCCCCCTCCTGCAAGTACAAGCTCTGGCACAACGCATGAATTGCACTCCTGTATGACAGCTGGCCGCATCAACCGTGAGTTCCGCGAGGCTCAGTGGTCAGGCAAGCCACTCCCCATCCTGTGGATTGCCGAGTACTTCGCACTCGACGGTGAGGGCATCCGCTGGGGGCGTACCTACCGAACTGCTGGTTTCTACGCATGGATCATGATCTGGTGAGTGCATCCAGTAAAAATCTGAAGATCAGTCATTCTGGTTGCCTGTTTTGTGAGTGGGAAAAAAAGGGTTTCACACAAGTTTCAACTTGGTGATCCAAAGTCACTTCATTTGTAATATATTTAAAATGGAAACAATTTGAGAATGTCTAGGTTTTAGAACTAAAAGGGTTAAAATGTCTTACCGCCCCTTTCTTGTCCCTGCAGGACCGCCTTCCCTCTTTGGATTCTGGCCATGGCTCTTAGCTTCATGGTTCTCCGCTACTGTGGGTATTTCCTGATGATGACCGGCGGTTTCCTGTGGCTAGGAAACATCATGTGGGCTACGGTCCGCTTCGGCATAGAATTAAAGATACCTTTCAGCACAGAGAAGATCCTCATCTTCTCATACGGTCCAACTTTCTACCTGTGCTTCATTGCTGGTGAGCATCTTTGTTGTTGATCTTCAGACATTGTACACCTGGAGATAGGTCTGGAGTTTGCCTTAAAATGTCTCAAACATGATTACCTGTAGTTTTTACTGGGTGCATCATAAGGTCTAAGTGTTTTAGTGTAAATGGAATAGATGATCACATCATAGTGATGTCATTATAACACAAAAGTTAAACTAAACATATACGCACTGTTCACAATGAGCGGGCAGAACACTTCCTCTTTTGGGGGAAGGACTGAAATTCTTGTACTCCATAAATGAGAAATGGCATAAGTAATGAATCATACAGCAAGACATTGTGAAACAGACCCCAGGAGTTGACTTTAAAATCTGTTTTGTTTTTCTAATTCAGGTCTGGTTGCTGTTGTGAGTGGTTTCATTGTCTTCATCATGGACATTCGTTTTCCCAATGAGTTAACCACTTTCTTTAATGTGGACCCTCTGGCCGATTATGAGGAAACCTTTGTGTATGACAAAGGCACTGGTGCCAGGAACGGTGCATCCAACGGCGGCCCTGCTGAAAGTGAAACGGTTAGTAAAACCAGCTTGTTAGTAGTCTTGGGCTGAAGGGAATGACTGTTAAACAAATTCAAACACACTGAAATGCAAAACAGGGCAGAGGGACTTCACATGACCTTTATCCCATCAGCTACTCTCCCCCTCTTTAATGTTATGACAAGTAATATCTTAAACTTTCTGGGTTTGTTTCTGCATTTCACCATGGCTAGTTCCATTCTTCTACAGATGTTGGTGATTATGTTTATTGCAGTGGATTTTTGGCAGTTCTCATCCCACCAATTTTTTTGCCCGATATCTTTTTACAGCCGTAACCTGGCTCTTGCCATAAACCAGATTTAAGCTTTCAATTGATCATGATCTGACTATTTGTCAGTGGGCTGCAGTAAGTTTGGTCTGAATGATTTTGTATTGTTTTGACAATAATAGTATACTTTCTTGAAGTTTTGCCACAGAGGAAAAAACTTGTACAAAGTTTGGAATTACCTTTACATACATGTAGTTTTAAATCATAAAAAATCCTGGAACATTACTTCTATAAATAAAAGAATATTACTTGCAAGAAAAACTCGGTCCTTTCAATTTACCCAGCTTCTGAGATGTTATGGGGATCTCATAATTGGCAAAAGTGATAAAACCCATTACCCTTTAAGGTTGTGGTAATAATATTAACAGAGTATTTAGAAAGTGCTCAGTCTCTTACAACAATATTAATCTGATGGCGCTAGTCAGAGAAAGCAAATTCCTGTTATTTTTTTAACAGGAGAACTGTTACCATGTCTCATATGGCAGACTTTAACGCCTCCCCAAAATACATACAGTGTATATAATGGCAGTTCATGCATGCCATATTCACTTTTGTCATAGATGTGAACTTTTTCCCTTCAGTATAAGTGGGTGAATTATGAGAGGCCAGCTAGTTTTTTGCTCACAATTTCAATATGTGCACAGGTCACCGATGCAATAAGGTGTCGCCTTCGTATGGGTTTAAAATTAATCACATGTTGATCAGTTCTTTATTGGTTCTCAAAATGAGTACAGATTTAATTGTCTTTACCTCTACTTCCAACAGGAAGGCTAAGCAGTTTGGTTTGGGGGTTGAAGTTCTTTTTGGCAATTGTTTTTTTCTGGCAACTACTTCATAAAATAAGACATGACAAAAAGTGTCACTGTCAACCTTGATCATAAAAATCAATTTTAAAAATAGATGGCATATAAAAATGTTCTAGGTTTATAGCATTGCAACCATACATTCCCCTACATACATACAGTTCCTTTCAGGCAGTCATTTATTCAACTTACGATTTTTGACATATTCACAGCTGCAGTGTACTTGGTACATTCAGGAGTGAGGACTTAGGCTAATGGGGTGTTAATGATAACAATACCCGAGGACCTGTACAAACCTTGTGGGGCAAGTTGAAAAAAGGTTGTAACAGAAACATTCCAAACAGTACAAGACAATTTCAGGTCCTCTGTGAGGTCTAGTAACACCTAGACTGTGTGGGTTACCCCCAGCACTATGATGGTAAAACCCAAACAAGGGATTAGAAAAAATAAATGGGTTTTTATGAGTACAGAATGTACTGATTACTCAACAATGTCAGGGTAGAAACATTCATCTTCCAAACACGCATAAAAAGAAAAATGTTTTACACTAACCTGTCATTTTTACTAGTGTATTTTTGCCACTTTAATGTGTGAATAACATTTTTCTCCCATAGAAACCTATGGTGATGGTTTACTGATTTTCGAACTTGCTAATAGGATCATTATGCATCTCAAGGATTCCTGAGAGTCTGCAAGTTTGTTACCCTCGATGTTATCACAACCCTGGTGAATGACACCCAAGATCTAACCAACCTAATAACCCTTTTTCCCTGCACCTTTGTTCTGTTTCCCCTCGATTTGTCCTATTTCATGTGTTAAGGTGGCCAGCAAACCGGTGTACCGCCAGCGGGCACAGTCTCGCTTTGCTGTATCCCGCCGCCGTCCCCGATCGTCGCTGGCTGAGGTGGCGGAGGAAGCAAATGGCACACATGATAATGCGTAGGTGCCCTCACCAAGGTTTCGCATGTTCTGGCCCATCTGTACATCTTTTTGCATGGTCAGCTAGCTGTTAATATCACCTGGACCACGATGCATGGACTTTTTCGCTTGTGTTTACCAAACTGAATGTTGTGGTCTTCTGATGCGGACACTTTCAAGAAAAAAATCAAACCACACTAATTTTCATTGCATGTATGTCACTTAAATTGATATTGGACGTGGGAAAAAAATTAGAAAGCTTCTTGGGTGGCAGTAAACCTGTTGGCAACAAAAGACATTGTGTCAAAAGAGACATGGTCTCATACCAGCCCTTACACTAAAACTACATCGCTAAGTTTTCCTATTCTCATTTAGAAATATGCCCATTTGCATGCACAAACATTTTACTGGACTGGACTAAATACACTTTCATAACATTGAGTTTGATTTGTTTTTTTTTTACAACACTTGCCATGAATGATAATGCATGTACTGTATGATCAGCAACAGACTACCTGGCATTCATAGAATGGGGAGGGACGATTATTATTAGTGGAGATCAAACCCAAACATGAGCTACCGGTTACTCACTACATGACTAGCAACTGGCATGCTTTGAGTTAGCATTTCATAAAGAGGAATGCCTAGCACAAAAGTGCCTAATATGTCGTGTGTCTGGGGTCAAACACACCACGGGGTTGCAGTTTGGGGTTATAGCTGTATGTCACATTGCTAGGCTACCACGGATCCCTTTGAAATAACACAAATTCCTTTTGGTGTCTGCTGTGCAGATTGTCAGATGCCACACATTTTCAACTAAAAATATTGCCACTTTGAGGAGAGCGGGGAAAATAATTCACAAAGTGTATACATGTATTCCCATTTTATATTCAAGATCTAAAAATGAGATTTTTGGGCTTCTTGATTTGTTTGTTGAGGTCAGTTTTTCTGCTATGCCACTTCTGTAAAGATGCTAGATACAGAAAGACGAACATCATTATCCAATACAGAGACTAGTGCAGCATGCTGAATCATTGTCACTTCCCTTCTTTTGCTTGTTGATATTTGATCCAATCACTAACCACAACTCTTAATCTTTTGATGTTTTTATCTTTTGATAAAACGATTAGAAGATAGAAATTAGAGATTAGAAAATCTTTCTTTCTAAACTTGCATCTATTTCCATCTTTTTCATGATCAATTACTGATAAACTCATCATTCAAGTAACAATTTTAACAATGTGTATCAGAGTGGCTTTATTTTGTGAATAGTTTTTGCTTGATTGCATGACCTGTGCTTCTAACTCGATCCAAACTAAATAATGAGACTTGAATGTCAAAACCAAGGCCAGTGTTGTTTTCCTATACAATTAAACAGAATGTGAGTGCATCAGATGGAATAAAAGTTATGGCCGCCATAGCACATACAAATAAATTTTAGCTCATAATAGGAGGAAACAAAAGGAGGAAAAACACTAGCAACAAAACTATGCACACTACATGTAATAATCAAATTGAAAGTACACCCAATGAAGTTTCATAAAACTTCTTTATATTATATATGAAAATGAAAGTGTTGTAGGTGTAAAGTGTTTACAGCTTGACGAATTTCTCCGTTGTCAAAGATAATTCATTTTCCCCCTAACAACAGAGTTAAACACCTCATACTGAAAAACAACTGGCTTAAGGGCGGTGGAAGGAATGAGCAGAACAAAGCCGATGCAGCCTTAATTGAACTGGAAGACTCATAGTTGAACAAACGTTTGTGAAGTTAACTTTTCATTTTCCCCCCACAGGTAGTCTCCATGCATCACTTGCTATAGTTCCAACACAAGCTGCTCCAAAACACAGACACAGCATCACTATGAAGCTCTTAAACATTCTACATTTAACATCTGTCTTCATTAGTGTAGTAGTCAAGTCCACCACATCTAAGTCCGACTATTTCTGAGTCCAAAAAAATGCAAGACTGAAAGTCCAAGTCTGAGTCCTTTGAAGAACTAAATGTTCTCATAAATAATGAATGGGCCTGTGTTGGGTATGCACAGTGCAGACAAATTGGGTCCTGTGTTGTGATCCATAAGTGAAGGGAAAGAAAAGGACTGGTATTTTTATGTGTTTAAAGTGCAAAAATTATAATTTAAAAATTCTCAGAATGCTTTACAAGGCCTCGAAACTACATGAACAATTACAAAATGTAGACAGATTTACCAACATACAGAGCACAAGTAAGACTTCTTGCAATGCAAGTGTTTCACTCCCCCAAAAAGAATTTCGCAGGTTGGAAAAATGCAGAGGTACACATATTTTTAAGTTGTCCATTTATTTGCTTACATTACACTGAAAGGGTTCTGAGGAAAACAAAACCGAGTGGCCAGAGTTCAAGTTCAAAATAATGCAAGAAACTCTCAAAAGTCTGAAGGAAATGGATGTCTCAGGCACATAGCTAAGCACCAGGGACATTTGCTATTGCACATCATGTTAGCTACCACTACTGTTGTGTCAGCAACTACAAATCTGTCCTCACGTTTATTTATATTCCCAGCACGTCACATCAATAGTAGATACAGATTTCCCTTCCATGTCCTTTCTTGCACAATTAGCCTTGCATCATCAGCTTGCCATTGTCTTGTAATTAAACAGATCATCTCCTTTGAAACTCTCATTTTGTGTTTGCAAAAGACTATTTTCCAAACTGTTAGTCAATATACCAACAGGAATTAGTGTAATTCTGTTGGAATTGAGTTGGTTCATTTCATTTCAATATTCATCCTAGGTCAAAGGTTTCGCTCTTCTTAATTCAAAATGCACAGTATCATCTGCTGTTTGGAATGCTATAAACTGTAAATGTGCTACACATAAGCACCATTCCATCAAACAAATGCACTATTGTGCTGAACATTTTCCAAGAGATTGTATGTACCATGTGATTTAAGTTGCATGCCTCGTTTTAACCAGTACTAATATTAAATCATTCGAGATTGTTGGGTTGTTCCTTTTGTTGTAGTTCCAGTTTTATAGCTCTGTGGAACTCTGTTGTAAGTAATTATATAAGTTCAGTGAACAAATACCACTCGTGTACAATTCAACACAATCTCGACTGCTTCTATACTGACAACTGTATCAAATTTGAATATATGGGAATTTTGCTGTTTCTTTACAACAGCGACCCGGTGCACTTTCTATCTCAGCCAGAGATGGAGCATGTTACCCATCATTTCATTGGTCTACATTCTCTGACCCCTTCAGTTTTCTCTTTCACCAACAGAAGTCCTGGCGAAAAGTATCAGCTCTCCGAAAAGCCAGCAGCAGACCCCGGCGAAAGTATACCCCTCACGGAAATCAAGGAGGAAGCCAACAACTAGATAATGGTGGAGATATTCAAATGAAGAGTTACGGATCCTCTCTGACAGGTGTGGAAAACCCGGCCCTTGATGTAATCGATGCATAGTGTGACAACAGCAAATGTCGTAACATTTCTCCCCAGCTGGAAACCTGTCATTCTGTTGTTTTTCTTGAGACCCGATGACTGCTACACTGAGCCTCTTCTTTGCACTGAAAACTTAATGCTCATCAGAACTTGGAAATAAGTTTCATATTAGCTATGCTATGGTTAGTAGGATTTGATAGGGACTCATTTTCCAGATACATTTGGGATAAAGGAGCATTTGTATAATCAACTACTTTGAAGCAAATACGATTTTACTTATGATGCAGATTTATTACTCCTCGGTTGCAGTTTGTTTTTCTTGTGTGTGTTTTTTGGCTTTTGCTTTTGTAAGTTCCATAACATGGGTTAAGAATACCGTGTGCATTTGCAATGCAGTATTTCCTTTTAAGAGGACTGATAAATTGTAATAATCATCCTAAAACTTCCATACACAAGTGAGGAGCTTTACAGAAAAAAGACAAGTTATTATCATACTCGATTTGAACACAAATGAGGGAAGAAGTTATTGAAATAGAGATTTTATCCTAGTCAGTAATGATGTATATGTAAACAAGTAGAAAAAGTAGCTCAAATGCAATAGGTTCAGATACATGTATATATATATTTGAGGGTTTGTAAACAGATTAATGTAAATGTTCTCAGTCAAGGAGGATGCACATCAATGTGTTTCATCTGACATGTTCTCAAGATTTTAAACTTCTTCAAAATAACAACGTATAGTGTTTTTCTTTTTAGTAGTCCATATTGTTAAATATTTTGTACAATATTTATGCAGTGTGTTATAAAGTATTAGCTGTAACAGAAAAAAGTGTTAAAATGATCACTTAAAATGAGTGGTAAAGGGCAAGGATCGATATTTGTGAACAAGTGTGAATGCTTTTTAATCTAGCATTTCACTGTCCAAAAAAGCAAATTAAGTAGATTAAGACAGTTATATACTGCTTTTAAATTCCAACTTACCGGTACACCTGAGGAATTCAGTGCTTTTTCTGTTTCACTGCACTCTGTTGTTGTTTTTATCTTATTATTAAACCTTTTTTATTTAATGCATGTACTCAGTTTACTCTAACTACATTTCCAAACATTAGCCTGTATGTAAAACTAATTGTGGCATTTTCCCAGGTATTTGAAGTCCAACTTCACATCACACACCAAAGGAATTTCTTTGAACAGAAATAAGGTACCATAGCAGGAAGTTAACAATGGCAGCAAGCCCCGAGTGGGACAGACACAATTTTTATGCCAAAAAGTAAACAATTTGCTGGAGGCTATGCACAACCTTTCTGGTTAAATATGGCAATGCAGTCACAAAAGCCTGGTTCTTTGTGCGTCACAGGGTTGTAGTAAAAGACCGAGTGCACTGGGCCCTAAAAAGGCAATATATTTAGAAGAGGCCATGTTATACACCTGGTTTGAGTTCTTTGTACATTCTAACAATGGCTTCCAGCATGAATGCCACTTTTGAAGTTCAGACCAATGTTACTAGGACAAATTCTACACACAACAAACTTCTGATCCCTTGCTTCACACAAGACAATTCCTTGTATGAATTGTAAGATTCCCAGCAAGACTTTGGGAGAGATTGTTTAAACTCTTTCTAACACCCCCCACTATTTCTGGCCAAATTTCTTCTTTTAAGCGTTGCCTAATAATTTGGAGTGTTTTAAATTTCATATATGAAAGTTAGATGTCTACAGTTTCAAAAATTCAATTTGTTTAATAGCATTAACACTTTCATACTTTGGATTTTGTAAAAAGCACTGTTTAACCACAAGTAACTTCCTTTGATATTTTTAAGTAAATCACTTTTGATTCCTATTAAACAGATGAGGAAATGCGTTTTTTAACAAGTGACCAGCAGATATTGCATTTATCATTTGTCACACAAGACCAAAACAGTTTGCCTTGAATTTTGCTGGTGCATTGCTTATGCCATCAGCACTTTTCTACCTGGTTGTCTGTACATGTATGGCAGGCTTTNCCAAATCATCCCCCACAACCAAAATGTTTGAATGGAAAATTTACTTGAACAATTTCTTATGCGTCACAGGGTTGGTGTAAAAACCAACTGCAGTCAAGTCTATCAAAACGCTGTTTACTCAGAAAAGGTCACATTACACACTTGATTGCAGTTCTTTGTAAATTTAAACAACGGCGCCCAGCATGAAGCAAGTTTTCCAGGTCAGACCAGCCTTACCAGGATTCAAATACAAATGCCATAAGTAGCAAACTTCTGATCACCTGTCCCCAGGCCCGTAGGAGGGCATAAAAATGTGGGGGGAGCACCAGTGTTTTCCATCATTTGCTGATCAATTTTTGCGAAGCCACTGCATGAAGTTTGGGACCCGCTCAAGGCATGCCTTCAATGTGGTCCAACATGCGACACTTATGTGGACCAACCTGCTGCAGGCATGGTGAAATTAGCCCCTTCGGAAGTTGAGGTGGAACAAGAATGCACACCCCCAGCGCATGCCATGGTGCAACCACCCTACCAGGCAATTAGTCAGGGGTTGCCGTGTTTGAGTGAGCTACTTGTGTTTTATCCCAGGACGCATGCAGGGAGTACGCGTATACTGACTCCAGATAATGCATACGCAACGCATCCTTTCAAGCTACCTGGAGTAGCCACTCAAATGCACCATGGGTTTACAACATTTACAAAAAGGTGACACAATTTGACACAACGTCCAAGACGAGAAAATATGGCATATTATCTAGACAAAACAGACAGTGTCGGCGTGAAGTGTACCTTTCCAAATGTTTTTAAAACTAGCCTTTCCTAAACAAACTTAGAAAAGATGCAGAAAATGTGGGGGGCCTGTGCCCCCCAGTTCCAGTGGCCATGCCTGTTCCACAAAACAACTTGGCTCTTTCCATGCAGCACTGCGAAATTCCAAATACACTTTTTTGTGCCAAGACTTTCAGGGAGATCTTTTAAACTCTCTGTCTCATAAAAAAAAATGAAATTCATGAGAAATGCCAAACAATCCAGAGAAATATGGCTTAGCTCGACGTATCCAGACCCCCCTAAAAAGTGTACATGTATTTCTCTGAGTTACGACATTTAACGATAGGTGTAAAGAGTTTCATGTCAAATGATCACAGTTAATTTACTTCACTGCATGGTGACATATTTCATGAGCTCAGCTCGGAATGTGAACTATGTATGAATGTCTTGATCCCTTAAAATATCATTCATGTACCTCTTTTTCCTGGATTAACCTTGACAACACTTTCATAGTGGTTTCAACACACTGACACTATGAACATCTAACAAAAGAAACACAGTGCACTTACAATGAGCATCCATTGTTATTACACCATGCTTCTTTGGTTAGATGTTCATTGTGTGAGGAGGCTTTGGAAACATGTTATGTGTCACTGACAATGTGTTCCTTTTCACTAACTGTTGCCAGCACAGTGCTATCATGCACTGGCAGGTGTTGAGAAATCTGCATACTCTTAGCCTAATATGCCACTACAGTTACTGTAGGCGTCAATAAAAATTCTCCAAAAATCCCTTGCAGGATTAGTTAATAAAGCCTTAGGTTGGCAACAGCCTTGAAGCAAATGGGAGGAATAAGCCATTTCCGAGTTAATTTTGAATAAAAGCTGTTGCACTGAGTTATCTGATTGCAAATACATGTAAATGTAACGATTTGAATTCCCCAGACTAAAGACACTGTTTTTGCTATACGTTGTGATTCGGGGCAAGCTTTCACATAGCAACCACCATCTCCAGAATGGACTGGTTCCTTTGTACCCTTCTTATCTATTGAGAACTGTGTATTGTTGCAAGGCATCTCTAGGCTAAGCAAAAGCTTGCCCCGAATCACGAGGTATAGCAACAGTGGTTTTAGTATGGAGAATTCAAGTTGTTACATTCACGTGAATTTAAAGAACTTAGTTTACCAGATTTGGGTCAAAGTTAACTCGCAAAAGGCTTATTGATTTCATGGCAAAATGTGCTTCAATGAGAATTTAAGGGATAAGATGTTTAAACAATGTGGAGGTACATGCAATAAGACAGGACACTCACATATGGGTTGTTCCTAAGTAAAATAACAGATCTTTTTCAGTGTTAATTTGATCTGTGCATTTTTCATGAGGGGGGACACCCAGGATGTACTACATCAGGTTCAAACATGTCAAAGTTGATTTAAAAGCAAACAGGAATACACATGTATACACAGAGTACAATAGCCTCATCTATATACAGTGGTGGGGGAGAGGCAAAATTGATTTTATTTTCAGCTTTTTGTTTTGTTTTCAGTGACCTGACAACCAAATTGTTTACTTGGAAAACTAGCAGAGAGTGCCTCCTGAGTGGCAATAGAGACGGAATCTATGAAACACAGTCCAAGTACAGCTGTACTCTTTTCTTTGGAAAATGTGTTGGAACAAGATCGTTATTTGTTGAAGGTCAGCTTTTGATCACAATGTCTGTTGAAAGGGTTGAGAGCTGAGCACAGAGGTAAAAGCCAACACAGACAAGGCCAACAAATATCTGTACACGTACACAGGAAAGACAGAATTGGTAACCGGGTTACAGCATAAACTAAGTGTGAACATGCTGGTAGAGAGAGCGTTATATTACACTATCATTTGCATAGATCTGATTCAAACTTTATCAGAAACTTTGGTTTTAACAAACATTCCTGATTAACATTGAAACCCAGAAATAAAGGCACTCTGTAAATGGCATTACGCACAGAAATCCCAAACTCACTGCAAACAGTTGGTCAACTCTAGTTTGGTAAACCTTCCTGTGAAGGTTTTATGGAAGCCTCTCTCATGCTTGAATCCATCTCAACAAAGATTGTGTAACGATCTTTTAATGCCCTTAATCTCCTACGGGACCTTTCTATATATCTCCCTTCCTTTATGTAAGCATGCGGATGTACTCTCATTTCAAGGAATTTTTTAACCGTGAAAGTGCATCTTACTGAAGTGAAGACCCTCATTAGATTAACAAACACCCAAAGAAAGACATGGAAGATATGCAGCAGCTTAAGGCACCGGTACAAGGACAAGATGCAAAGAATTTTGGCATAGACATGTATTTGCCTTTCCAAATCCTTGATACCAGGCTACAGATTAGCTGCAGGTGAAGATTCTTCTCAGCAACAGCTGACATTTAGGATAGGACACTGTTTTGGATGGCATAGTGTATGTCTGTGCATGGAACATGTACATGATTCAAACTGACATTATGACAGGAATGTTTACTTCAGAAAGTTATCATCCACAGTTCCCAGATTTTCATTTCAAACTATAATAAGCTGATAATTCCAACATCACGTGCAGCTTGTGGACAACATAAGTACTGACAGGTACATGTATTTGCGTGGCTTTTGGGCAAGTGTTTTATAAAGGCTTAGCCAGGCAACACATCTGTACATGTAGTTTTACATACATAAAAGTTGGCCCAAATACCCCGTAAGTAACAATGATCTGAGCCTTCTGAGGCCCCCCCACACACCTTGAAATGAAGCACTGATCAAGCTTCCTTACAAAGATGAGCCAGGCCATGAAGACACAAACTCTCTCTACAGTTCGATATGTTGATATGCATGAATACCTGTACCTATCTCGGCACACGGATTCAGCAGTACCATAGCTCCATGGCGGTACCATGACCAGACAATGCAAATTGTGTGTGCAACCTTGGGAACTTCTATGACTCTTCTGGAGATTGTATCCCTCCCAATTTGAGGATGAAGGTACAGTGTCCCTTAAAAAGTGGATCCTCATGTACTAGTTCATCAAAACTCTGAGACGTCCCTTTTCCATCGAAACCCCCCGTACTGAAAAGGTCCAATTCATTTACCTATTGAGACCAATTCACTCACCCATTGGATCCAGTTCACGTATCAATTAATAACCAATTTCAAAACCAATTGCTATTGCTTGGAATCAATTGGAATCCAATTGGGTTCAATTGGTTTGAATAGTAAATTCAGACTTTTTCTCAGTTGAACCATTTCAAACCAATTGACACCATTTGAATGCAGATTTACAATCCAATTGTAAACAACTAAAGAACCAACTAAAACCATTTCAATACCAATTGAAACCATTTGATTCCTAATTCCCATTTGAAATTCCAATTGATTTGGGAAAATAAACAGCTAGAAAAAAAATTCCAATTGAAACCAATTGCATCCCATTTGAAATCTATTGATGGGGGAAAAGCATACCAACTGAAACGAACTGAGCACCAATTGATTGTCAATTTGACCTCTTTCATTCCAATTAAATCCAATTCAAAAATCAATTGGTTTGAATAGGCCATTTTTAGTCGGGCCTTAATGAAACAATCTCTACAAATAAGTCCTTCTCATAGACCACCTGAGAACTCTATTTTTCAATCACACAAAATTTGGAGGATGAACCCCCAAAATATTAAAAATTGACGACACTCAATGCACCACTATTCTGTATTTGTTTCTTAGCTGCTTCCTGACTATTTGCAGATGTATGAAATCTGATAATTTAAGAATTAATGACACATTAGACAGAACTGAACAAATCCAATTCAGTACGTAAATGAACACTTAAGTATTTTAATTCCCCAACAACACAATATACTTTTCGAGGAAAAGAAATCTAGATACGATAAGCAAAAAGAAAAAAGAAAAAGAAACACCTTTGTGTGGTCAAATATGACGTTCACGTCCTACAGATGCACGTCAGTTAGGTCAAACAATTTAGCCTTCCATAACTACCAGTAGCTACAACAGAACTTCACAGTGAGGTTAGCTATAAATAAGGTCACTGATCACAAAAGAAACTTGTGTTTATAGGTTATGGTCTACACAGTTACCAAGGCCATCTAAAGACAATAAGACAGGCAAGCCTTACACAGCTACTGCACATGGATGCTCTACATTCAATTTAGCTGTATGGTTTCTGAGTAATACATGTACAATTTCCCTAAATAAATTTCCTCCGCCACTCAAGTTCTAGATGCTTAAATTGTGAGACTTTGGTTTGCATACTGTGAAGAAAATGACACAGGTGTTCAGTAATGAAGCACAGTGAATAATCCACTGAACAAAGCACATTTGAGTTTTATTACAGAAATAACACTGCAATAGGGCATTAATAAAGTATCAAGACCTTCAAAGAAGGGCTGATCAAACAAAAATTTAGAAACAAAACGAACATGTCTTGGTCAAATGTGCAAGAGTCGACACAATATTGCATATTCAATAGAAAAAATTTCCCTCAAATTATTGTTTATAGTGACTGTTACATTTTGCACAAGTTTACTGTAATGAATGGGAGAAAGCATTTTGCGATAAAAATGCATCTTATGGGTATATATAATATAACTTACATTGCTAATTAATCAGTCAAGTATTGATAACAAGATGTATATTCTTTTCCTGAGCACCTTTCCTGAAAATATTTAGTAACATTTTGGTGGCACACTCCTTTTCGGAAAGCTTTAATTTCTTTTCAGCTTTTCAGAAAGTTTAATGTTACAGGAGGGTTAACAAAATTGAAAACTAAGGAAAGAGTAGAAAAGTATCAGTGCACCAAACTAAAGGTATTCCATTTTATACATGTACACTCTTGGATTGTTTGATAAAATATAAAGAAAAACATCCAAAATCCCAGGATGAAATCAATCAAAATCTTGAGATACCATTTAGTGATACCTCTCCCCTTCAAATCAATAAGAAGAACAGATGGAATTGTTACCTTATTTGGATGGAACCAATAACAAAATATAATTTGCATGACTCGGCACTGCTTGCCGCACAGAAAAAACAGAATCAACCCTTTTTCATGCCAGACCAAAAACGCTAATACAAAGTGCGTTTATCAAGCACCAGACTATTCCTCATTAGCAAAATTCTGTACATGTATACAAATGACCAGATATTGCTGCGTAAGAGAGCAGGTACATGTTGCTGTGGGGCGACATGCTCAATACCCTGGGAAGAGGTTGCTGCCTAAAGGAATTTCATTCTTTATACAAGGTATGAAAATTTGATCATGACTGCTGTAGCTTTAGACCAGTCAACTGAGGGCAGCAAATATATTCGCTGCCAACCCCCCCACACTGGTTTATTAGGCATGCACCTAAGTGATCTGTCTATGTACTTGGTAGGATTTTACAGAGAAAAGAACAAAGCAAAATTCACTAGAACTATAAAGGCATTACTCACTTATTTGATAAGTGCAGTTTTTCCTATTGCTAATGTCACAGTGGCAAATGGCAAACTATCGCAGGCCGTCAGTACAAAACAAAAGAACAATTAGAGTGTTCAAAAATCTCAAGTAGACATTCAAACACTACAAAACATATGCATCTTTTGAACACTAAATTAAAAATACTCAAACTGATGGAACAAATGTGCATTTTGAGGCAAAAGCTGCTGTCATGCACGAGTGATCTGTTTGACAACTCTGGCTGTCCATATAAATGGAAGTCAGTGTTTGTGTCCATACTTGCGCTCGCAGGTTTTCTCCAGGTACTCCGGTTTCCTCCTGCCTCTAAAACTGGACCGTCTTCCTAATGTCCGTAATGTGATGCTGATTAATAAAGGTTATGAATAAACGTATAGTTACTGCGCAAAATGGCCTGAGTAGCTGAAAGCGCCATTAAAACAAAACAACAAACAGGGGAAAGGTCTATAACTGGGCTGCCTCACAAAATATTGGCCTGGAGTCATCAACACCGAAACCAAAGGCTGCCATCATGAGGAATGAAAGTGGATATGCAACCTGTTTTTTCAATGAGAATATATTTCATTCTTGGTTTATTTGTAACATTTTCAACGTGACTTTACATACACTTGGGGGGGTAGGGTTAAAATTCCTGGGTCAGGAACTTTTTTCTATCCAAGTAATCCACAAACACAAGAAATGGTGTATTTGTGGGCCCTACGTCAATTTAAAACAAATTTCAAGTTGGTATTATTTGGGATTTTCCCTCTAATAGCTGGTGACTTTGGATCAACAGAGCATTGCATGACAAGGCCCAAATAAGTGCTTTTTTTGGAGTGACAGGAATGTTTTCAGGACAATAAATGTATTCAATGTATTGAGAAGTAGTCAGGGGTGTAAAAAGAAGCCCATCAAATCCGGCTATTTATGAATACATCCAAAAATGTTGCTGGCAATACTTCCTTGTAAATTTCCAACTAACAGGAAAAAAAACACCAAAACCTCAACCAAAAAACAGGCCAGTGGAAAAATGGGACCTCTACTTCCTTTTCAAAGTCGCTAAGAAACTGCCGCTGTCATTACTTTTGGGGGTCAAGGCGGTTACAACTATGCACCCAATCATTGCACAAGGGCAATTTAACAATACAGGAAGATTTGTGTTTCACTTCCTTATACCAGGGAGAGTAGGGCCAGATTTTGGAACACTCCAGATATTCAATTATGTGTTGCCTGGAATGAGTCAATTCAACATGACAAATGGAATTAGCATCTGATAAGCTCTGACAAGATGACGAAAAAGCTGAATAATTTGTTCAAATGTTCATTTCATGCACAAAAGGTATGATGTTTTCTCAAATTTAAGTCTGCAGGATAAACCTGCCTGTTTGGTTGGGATATGAACCACCAACGTCTTGTTTACAAGTGCACATGTTCTTACATAAACACTATTCCATCATGCACAGTGCAGGACACGTGCTCACCCACGTATGAAATGAAAGTCTCTTTTTGTATCAATTTTGTCAGTGATTGTAGCCTTTCAAATTAATAATGTGTTTGACTGCTTTTTGTGCTCCTTAACATATTGCCTTTTACTGTCCATGACCTGTACTGGCAAAACCAAACCCCATCCAACCGAACCAAAATATAAAACTAAAAAACGAACAACATCAAACAAACAAATAATAAAACAAGATGTTAGGCCGTACTTGTACATCTGACAAACTGAATATGTGATTGTGGTATGTCTATAATAGTAAAACTATTACGACCCATAACGGAACCGATGAAAGAGTGGCAGGGATATCACTCAGTTGTACCAGTGGCAGTCATGATGATTTAAAGGAACTGTGAACGGAAACCCTTGCTTTGGAAGGGAAACCAAACCTCTAGTGTATTGTTATTGTTACTACATGCAGTTGTGTTTGTTAATCTTGAGGCTACATTTTAATAAGACTTTGATCTAAATTTTGCTTTATATTAGTAGCAATTATGTGAGTAGTCTGTTCCATGAAAGTATTTTTACTGAATGGCAAAGTTTGTCACAAACTTGAAGACCACTAGTCTTTTGTCACGTCATCTAACAAAGCTTAAGTGCAAACCTGCAATTATATATAAGAGCCAACAGATTTTAAAAAAAATGCTGCAGTGACACGTCAGTTTCTGAATCTGCAAAAGTCAAGTTTGTAATTTGTACTTGTATTTATATTTCACAGACTTGTGCTATTTGTTGCAGTTGCTCCACAGTTGCGGCAAAAAAACTTCAGCTTGTTTTAAACAATGACTGCAGACAATCCACATTTAAAACAATATTTCCCACTTTTAGGCTTTCAGTTTCATTTTATCACCCAGAGGTCAACAATCTATTGTCAAACAGTGTCAACTCCACTGATAGTATTGATGACGAACTTGCCACTGCTGCAAAGTATTTTACTGACCAAACTTGATAACAAAACCTTGAAAGATATCTACACATGACTCTTTTTTGGTTAACCAAGCAACCATTATACATGTATTGATGAGTTAACAGGAACTGACTGGAGACTTGGGACATAGAATGAAGAACACTGTCCAACAAAATACATGTAGAAATGTGCTTCCTATTTTGAATCCCCAGTGTGTCTCAAAACTCACCCTGTAGCTGAGGACTATTTTGCTAACATTTGTTTCATGTTTCAATTTCAAGTTGAGTTATTGCCACTGTCTCATCTGATCAACTAGACCTGTTGAATAACAAAATGTGCAATCGAGCTTTACGGTTTGATTTGATTGGAGATGCTGACAGCACCAGGCACTGAAATATACTGAGGAGTAACATTTTTGTTTAAATTGGCACAAACTCAATTTTGATGCCTGTGTTTATACTGCATTTGGGCATATCCCTGAAGTACCAAAAGCAAGTAATATAACATAAACAGCATCATCACACTAGGAGTGCTATCTTTAAAAAAATGTAAGTTATAAATACTGCCAGTTACTATTTTTAGATAAAAACGGTTAAACGGACAGTATTTTCTTGCACCATTATTTGGTGGACACATTTTACGCAGTGTTGAATCAGCCTCGGCTTTAATTATTCATTCAGATTCTGCAATTGCAAATTTTATAATCACAACTTTCCTACAGTGTACATGTATATCATAAAAAAAAATACTGCCCTAACAGAATTCCTGCCTGACCACATTTTTTGGAGAGAAAATTTATGCACGTATTTAGAGAAAATCGAGTAAAAAGTCGAGTGCCTGGCCCACAGCAAAGCCAAACCAGGTATTTAATTTGTTCATAACAAAAAAATTGAGAGAACAGTGTAATTTTGAAGTTTGTATACATGGGATCAGGTAAACCGATTGATTCTGACTTGTGTCAAAGGGCAATGAAAACTGTCAAACCAAAGGCTTCAATGTGTCGCATATCAGCTGGTATTTACCCTAGTTTCCAGGGTGTCATTTCTAGACATTTCACAGACTGCTTCAGGGGTAGGAGAATGAATTGATTAAAGAGTTCAATAAAGGTTCTTGAACTTTCTTTGGAAGGGGGATTTGAAGTTTCGGTCTGGTGGTTTTTCCATTATGCTAGAAGTGCACACTGCGAGCTCATTTCCTGGTTTACAAAGTACAGAGTAAAGTGCCCCAGGTATTAGATTGTACCTGCTACCTTGTACATGCTACCAATTCTCAATCCTCAGTCTTCATCAGACATGGACATTTTCCAATGTCTTGGCTTCATCTCCACATGATCTGGAGTTTATCTTGAGCTTGAATACAATCAGATTCAAACATTAATTGTTGGAACTACATCTATTTCACATTCTGGCCTCATAATTAACACCTGCAGAGCTGCCAATAGTTAGCAAGATTTGAGCTTGGAACAAACACAGCCAAAGCCCTGGAACCTTTTAAGACACGGTCTTTTGCCCCGCTCACACAAAGCGCATGCGACGACGCAAATGCCACTGCCATAAAAGTCAATCAAAGTGTTTGATTATTACCAGAAACAAGCCTTAACACTTACAGCCTGATAATGCTGTCATTCTATGACCATTATGCATGTTTCCTTTTGCTTAACCACTTGTTGACAAGTGCCTTTGGAAATGCAGTGTCTAAAACCAGGTGATTTGCAATATCTTCGGTTTTAAAAAATCTTCAAAAATTCATGTCTTTTTTCCTGAATGCCTAAACCACATTGAGTGACTGTCTGGTGGCTACTCTAATCTGACAGACAAAATCTACTGATGCCTGAGTATTTCAGCCAGGCCTGCTGCCTTGTAAAAAGAGCTCAGATTGTGTGGTGTTATACAAATTCCTTTTGTTCCCGAAACTGGCACAGTTTGGCCTTTTTTAATACCGGCCAAATTAGCATGCAGCGGTATTGTATCTTATCACTGGAGTGCTGGAGCACTTTTGTCAGTGGTCAAGTGGTTGAGACATCTGCACTAGTAAGCAGGAGGTCCTGGGTTCAAGTCCCACTCGAGTACGCTTGTGGTTTTTTTCACAAGCTTTCGGGGGAAAACACTGAGTATATTTTGTGTTGTAATACACGTTGAGCAGGGCAAAAATCCAAAATTAACTGAGATCTCCCTGGCACAAATCCATCCTTGGAAAAACACTGACTGGTAATGATTTTTTCCTACATGATTCTAAAACTTTGTGTGTCTGAAGATGCAATATGTCCTACCATTGGCTATTTGATAGCTGTATTTGATGATGTTTGTTTGACCAATCCTGTTTTCAGGTGAAACAAAGCTGTATTATCGTTGACAACCGACAAAACCAGGTGACGTGAAACGGGTTGATGTTGGGTTGGGATTTGTCTTTAGAGCCTACTGCCTACTGGGAAAACTAGATTGCCTTCCTTTTCTTTTATCTGTTTCGCCAGTTTGGTTGTTTTGCTGTGTGTTTCAGTGATTTGGGGGGATAGTTTTTTGTCCATGGTTATAGGCTAGCCTACTTCGTCAAAGTTGGTGTTCCATTCTGACATTTTTTTCACCGTGTACTGCTTACTTGTACTGATCAACTTCCTTGCTGGAGCTACGCTTTCTGGTCGGGAAAGTCGAATCCATCCTTTGACGTCAAATTTCAGCCAAGATTTGTCTGCTGCCCTCATTGACCAATTTCGATAAAATTTTGCGCAGAACCTAGGCAGAGACTGAAAAAAGCACAGAAATCACCAAGTTTTGCTGATTCAATGACATTAAAGAGGGGTTAATCCAACTTATTGTTTATAAGACGGTTGAAAATATTTGTATAATGTCAATTTAACCCTAAATGGCCTATCTCCTTTAAAGTGCACTGAAGCTATTAAGCATGAAACCGATGTCCTACAAGTAAAATGGTTTTGAGTGCCCATTTCCCGAAAACCAATGTCTGCCTATAACGACATAACCAATACATGAAGACCACCACTGTGTCTACTTTTCCTAATTGTCTTATCTCAACTTGACATCCTTCATGAAAAATAAACCACGTTGTAGTGTTTACTTTTTGTGTATTTCTTTTTGAGGAGTTCCTTATTCAATGTTATCAGAGTAATCCCGTGTGAGCCTTTTGTGTCATAAGCTTTGTAAGCAAAGTCAGCATTCAAAAACAACCACACGAGGATATGCCTACATGAATATATTTTCCCACGTCTTCAATCAAAACCTTAAAGAGTGAGTGCAGCCCTGGGCAAAGCCTGCATCATGTATACATGTTAACATATGTACATGCTAAAGTGTGGAGGCTCAACCACAAGGTCACAGGGAAGGGTTTACTTCATATAACTGTGAGAGTAGAGAAAGCTTCCAACATCATACGTCCAGATTTTCATTCTTTCCCTGACCATGTAAGAAAATGTCCAACCTGGATTGGATTCCACTTATTTGAGTAAATTCAATGTACTTCCCCAGGGCCTGGTACTGTCAGTCCCTCACTGAAATCTACACTCTATTGGGATGAAAACCATCTGCAATGCCAATGTGGAATATTTGTATCTGTACTTGACCAACACTTCTCATCACCTGACAACTTTGTCTTTGCAACACCCCGAAGACCATCTGCAGAGCAATATTTGCTACAAGAAGTTGGGTACAGCAGCCAACAGGTTAAGTACCTGTACAATGTGTAGTTTACTTCTACAAACTTGCCAGACATTATGCATGTGTACAAAACCCACTGACATCATGACTGTCATATACCAACTGAAGCCACCGGTTGCCATCTTACCGTGCTGGATACAAAAGTGATCTCTAGCTCACATTAGATTGTAACAATTATTGCCCTGAATGATACCTTGATGATGGCAAGCAAGGCTTTTGAATTACCTTCATTTTCAGCACAGTTAGATGGTCACTAGTGGCTTCCATGACATGTGTGGGTTGATGAAAGGACATTGGGAGCCAAAACTTTTTATGACATCCGTGACAGGTATCAACAATGCATGATATGTACTACACTTCCCTGCTGCGGACTTTGAAAAGCCTGACAGTTAACCCATCATCCATTCCTGCAATTGTATGCTGTTTTTTACAAGTCCTCCATAAAACAGTGCATGGGAAATAAAAATCCTCAAGTATCTGCACTGATAAACCAACTTATTTGATAAACCATTTGGGTGCCAATGCACTATTCTCTGTGTTAATACTCAAGGGCGTGGCTCAGCTGTGCGGTTTGTGGCTACACAAACACTGCCCTCTTGTGGTCTCTTACTCCATCCAATTTTACAGTTAATGTCATTATAGAAAATGCATCAAGCATTAACTTTCAGGACAGATCGGAAAGTATTTGCAAGCAAACGGTGGGATGCAATAGTCCTCACAAGACATCTGTATTTGAAAAGTTCTGTCCCACTAACGTAATCTAGAGAATGACAAGTTTTTCTCCAAAAGTACTTATCTGTGTCAAAATCAAGTAGAGCACTGATATACTAGACTAAAAGATTTGCAGTTTTCAAATACATGCAACTGATTTAAAAATCCAATTCTTGATATATCATTGCAAATTTCTTCATATGGCATGCAATGTATTCAGTTAATTCCAAACTTTTTGTTGTGATTGTGTCATTGTGATGAGTATGTAGAAATTTGATCTTGTTTCATGATCAGACAAATCTAAATGCAGATTTACGATCAGCTCAAACAAGTGACTGGAGAAAATGCCCAAACACTTATTTCACATTTACCGTTTAGTGTTTAAGCTCTCAACGATTTTCTGTAGCAGCCCTTTTCTTTCTTTTTCTTTGTTACAAAATAACCTATTAAATAAGCAAAACCTTTTTAATTCCCTTGAACTTTTAGAAGACAGTTTCTGGGCCTCCCAAAATCTTTACAAGTTACCAAACCTAGATTGTGGTGGCTTTCGTGACAAGGAAGTGTTCTTGAATATTCCCACAGCATAGGAAGGGACTTCCCTTCTACATCCGCACAGCCTCACCAACATCCTGTGACCTGGCCCAAGTATGGCTCCTTAGGTAACCAGGCTAGCCTGGTCTGTTGGTAGAAAAATGACACACCCTTTTTTTTAAAAAATGTGGTGACCCAGGATACGGCTGGTGTCATGTGCCGTTCGTATGTTTTATGAAATCTGGTATAATCCAATGTGGATTCTCACTGTCAAACTTCACCTTCCCCTTATTTGTATTTTGGTAAATCAGACATGTGCAGCACACTCAAAGTATCTCTTTCTTCATGGGTCAATATCTAACATCACACCACACCCCACTGAAATTGGAATACCAAAACACACAAACAGTACATCCATCAAAATCAGTATTTGTCTGTGCTTATCTGTAAGCTTACAATGCATATACACTGATGCATGTACGCCAAAGTTACACATACATGTAATTAGAGTCCAAGTTGGACGAAAGTACTAGGAAATAACTATTGCAGGAAAAGAGTGAATGCAAAACCAGTAACTTGATTCCTAAAGCTTTGCAAAAGGGAAATACCTGTAGGTTGGATTCAACAAAAAGAATGAAGCATCTGCCAGTTATACTCAGAAGGGGGAGGTATTAGCTCACAGTCTAGTTGCACTTTATCATAGTAAGGTAGGGTACCTTTCTTTTTTTGTTTAATTATTCCCCCCCACTATGTTACAAATCCTCATAACGGCATTGCAATTAGAGCAAACTAACTTAGCAAAAAATGCCTACCAACTTTTCCTACCGTTTCGAAACCAGGAAGGCCACATGTATTTGAATACTGTCCTAAATATTTCACTGAGCAATACAAGGTTGTTACTGTTTCCTGACTTAAATAGCATGCTACCGGTACTTTGTCACTGTGACAACTAGGACACATTTATCCCACTTTCAATGGTCCCCCTTAACACTTGTTATTCTCTTTTCCTTAAATTCATTGATTTTTTTGCCCCTGGAACAGTAAACTTTACACAGCAAGTTCCTACAGAAAGAAAGTGAGGAAATGAGATTAGACATTTTCTTATGGACTTCTCGAGTAGTCATACAGTCATAACAAAAGTAATCAACTTCTCATATAATGTTGAATTTGTGAGGTAAATGTTTCACAATGACTTATGCTTAAAAACCAAATTTCTACTTAAAAAAAAAGAACTCTACAGGGGCAAAAGTGGTGAGGACAGGGGAAAACAATTCATCACGTATTACATTCATGAGCAAACTGAGTGTAACAAAAATAATTATCATTTTGCCTCTGAGCTTGACAGAACCAACCTAAAAGCTACAGGGGAACAGGGCATGAAGGTGAACTGGCGACCACAGAGCCATTTGCCAGGCTATGGTTATCGAGGGTACCAAGAAAAACTGTCATGGACATGCTGGTATCACAGATAACTATTTCCTATTGAAACGTGACACACAAGTTTACATGTCATCAGTTATGTTTCATTGACAGTCCAAGCTCATCTCTGAAGTAGCATACAACCACAAGTGCCTTTTCAAAACTAGTTTGTGTAAACATGTGCCTGGCATAATCCCCAACATCTGGGTTTTCTGCATGCACATCACTGATATTGAATCATAACTGTTCCTTTTCAACTTCACACACTGTGATCTCCACTCGACGGGGTCACTTGTGCTTCTTGGAGTCCTCCATCTATGAGTAAATTAATGTGTTCAATAGTTCTACCTATCCATTTATGTGTTGGTGGCACAAACAGAAGATGTGAACTTGAACTTGCTGTGTTCTTGGGTGTGGTCTAATAAATTTGCAACTTGCAAGTCACTGTTTGTGACTGGATAAATGGGGTCCTGGATGCAATATAAACTTTTGGCATCCGCAAACGGCAAAGTAATCCTGATGACACTGCATATTGAATCTGTTATCAACCTGCAAGGTGATAACATTAGTATCTGACTTCCACTACCTTACAATGGCAATAAAAGAAAAGGGAAACTTGGCACATGAGAATTAATGACTGCAGCATTTGAAGGAACATGAGAGCTTGAAAACTATAGGAGAATATAGAAAAAATTGCTGACCTACTTGTTACTGTGACTACTACTACTCCTATTTTTTGTAAAGCGCCCTCCATAAAAATTATCTCAGAGCACTGTACTATATATACATTACAAACCCTAACACCCAATAGGCCCTACTTAAAAATCATTACATATTACAAACTTCAAGGATCAATTAAATAAAATCACAGCTATTTCAGAATCAACATAAAACTTATTTCACTTATAACTAATCTTAAATAAATATGTTTTAAGAGAGGATAAGAAAACTACTGACAAGTCAAACTGAGGAACCTGTTACCATCCTAAGGTATACAGCTGAGACCAAGGTTAAGCAGACCCTGTAAATGAGGTTGGGAAAGACATACCAACAGCCAAATGCAGATTGCAGAAGGCCATGTTCAAGTCACCTGGCTGCAGCCGGATGTAAACCCTGGTTTAATATAATCATTACAATCACTGGCAACACTGCCAAAGGGTCCCCAATGCTATGCCAAAACTTTACTTTCCCAGGCTAGGCAAAAGTCCGCTGGGAACAAACCAACAACAGGTACAGACTGCATGTCAGCTTGAGTGGTAACCACTAAGATAGTATTTTCAGCGTTTGGCAATTTGTTGGCTTCACCACTCCTGTATAATTGTTTTGGTGATCCGTGAACAAGTTAACTAACAGGTTCTGCAATTTAACCCTCAGCCAACCATTGGTTGGTCTGTTACAACTACATTGCTAATACAAACGCCTGCATTGTACTCAAGTTACAAAGAATTCATCACTCTTTACAAATTCAAGTCACCAATCACCACATGTTTGCACTGTACACCTGTGCAGTTTTTATTACATATACATTCATTTCATCTTTTTTTTACAGGAAATATCCGAGAATCCAAAGTACTTTCACGTGAATATTCTTAAACACTGATCAGAATAATGGATTTCTCATCATGCCTCCGTATGAGATGTACACAAGTAAATGCCAGTAATTATTAAGATAGCTTGCCATTGCTGGAGCAAAAAATCCTCATTAACAAGTATCAACAATCATTCAGTCGAACATCTTCAAGGAGAACGGACAGTAACAGATAGCTGCTTAACTCTGCTTTAAGGAAGACACCCAAGTATAAACTTGCCAGTTGGTCATTCTTTAGCCCTATTCTACAAAATATGCACATGTACACCCTAACATGTAAAATATACTTCAGTATATGCACCTACTAGTCAATAGCTTCTTGTAAAGAGTGGGGCAAGCACTGGAGGGTCTTATCTAAGAAGAAACGGAGCAGGTTCTCTGGCAAGCAATCAGTGTACAGTAAAACCTCGTTAATAAGATCACTGTTTATAACAGGGAAATTTTAGGGTCCCAATTCTTTGATTTTCATTGCTTTTTATTTCTGCTAATACAAGGTTCCTGTTATGACAAGGTAATTTTCCAAGTCTGAAGGACCTCTTATTAATGAGGTTCGACTGTGATTGTAATCCATGAACTTGCAAAATATATTTGAGCTGGGAGGGGTATGGCAGGATGTTGACCTTCAATTTGACAAAATAAAAACAGAAAAAAAATTGGAACCTGCTTGTGTAACATCTCTACATTCAAGTAACATTTATAAACCAGATACTCACATGGCTATGTACACGCACACATAAATACATGTATATTCTATTGCATTGAAGCATTACATTACAGCTAATTACGCACATGCATGATGCATGAGATAAATCTAGCCAAAAAATGCAACTTCATTCAACAATTTGTCATTAACTTTACAACACTTGAAAGCAGGAAGCAGCAAGCTTAATTTTACAAAGACCTGCATGGGTGCGATTAATCTGAAAAAAAAAAAGCTTTCAAGAATGAGTCTCGCTAAAACACAGCAATTTTTTTTTCTTTTGCTGGAGGCTAAAAGTCAACGCATCCATTGTGTGCCAAAAAGAAACAACCATATTTCCATTAAACTGGTTGTGGACTTTATAATAAAAGTTATCCTTTCAAGGAAATTTTCAGCAGATCAATAACAATTTAATGTTACTCTGTGTTATATCATTTCTGCAAACATTTCATTGTACAGCCATTTAAACTATTTTATGACCCAAATCCTCTTCAACACTGAAATGAGAATAAATTTGTCTTCTTTACTGTCACCACTGACTGACTTACAAGCAGCCTGCCCAGCCAGTCCAAACCCAGCATAGATCTGCACAGAGTGTGGCTGAAGCTGTGCCTCTTGCATCGGGCTCAACAGTCACCTGAAGGCTCACACTGCGGCGCTAGGATCAAGAGAGATCTGTCGTCGTCAGACTCGATGGACAGCTTTATAACCTAACCGACTGACACATGAATTAACGTCACTACTTGTTTTAGCACCAAATCAGACTGATTGCATGTACAATATATATTGGCCTTAAACGCATTCCCCCTTTTCTTTTTCAATTTAGCCTACTGGTATATATAATATAAAGGCTTATGTATTTCAATTCAAAGGACAAAAATTACAAAGTAGGAATCACGTTTATCTTTTCCCGTGAATCTAGTAGTCTTAAAGTTCAGCATCTTATTTGTATTAGATCATATGTGTATGTAAACTAGGATTTTTTACATATCAAATATAAAATAATATCAATACTGTTTCAGTAATTGTTCTTCCTTAACCCTGTAAAGACACATTTATAGCTGCTTTCTTTCTCAACACCTTGTTCTACTTTTTGTACTCACACGATAATAAGAGATCATGTGATGGATGGCAATACGGTTCATTCTGTTCCCACACGGATGCAGCTTTTGGACATGTCCACATACAACTACATGTATGACCAACAGAGGCTCAATTTCACGGCCTTGTTCTCCACACAATTCCATGCTCACGATCCCTGTTTATTCACAGCATTTGCAGAGAAATTCTACCCATAGGTACTTCAGAAAAGTACAGAAATCTCCCTTGCAGCATATTTGCACATAATACAAAACTCTGCATTAGTTCGTGGAATATATTCAATGTTTAGGGGAGATTTTTTGCCTACGATAAGTTGAGCTGGAATCAAGTTGCAACTGTGAGATCTGCCACACTGTCACAAACCTAATTTTTCAACGGGAGGCAAAATGTACATGACATACTTGACATAAACTGAAGAGGTTTGTTGTAATGAGAGCACAGTAGTTTGTACTTCTTCAACTTAGTTTGTTATACATTACATCTTACTTCAAAATAATGCCTAAGGTTTCATTGCCAAGTCTTACATTGTAAGTTTTCATATCTTCCTCATCCATGTGTCAGCAGGAAAAAATTTGCACCCATTTTAATTTTTCAATTGAAAAAAAGCTTACCGACTGTGAAAACAAAGGATTTGTAACAATATATACACACTAATTTTATTAGCACACTTTTTGATGGATTAACGCCTTTTGAAGTCAGTAAACAATGCAAGAAAGTGGATGTAATGTTCTATTCAAATTTTGAACTGACTAAGTAATGTGATCATTCTGTGCTCCCATCCGATTTAGGGGCAAAACAATTTTGACAATTTTATAAAAAAAACAGAAGAGTTCCAAAAATACAGCAAGTGTGATCCTGTCCAGCAAGTATTACCAGTTTGTTGAAATACATCTATGCAGTGAGTTACTGCTTCTTGTAATGCTCAAATGGACTCAAGTTGGTGTTCTATTGATACCATTAATGTCCCAATTGTGAATACAGCCAAGTAGTACGACCAAGTCTTGAACAGCGGGCTAAAAGTTATGGCTCAGTTTGCCCTAAGCACAGAGTTCTCTGATCATTACAGCAGATTTCCATGCTGGTGGTTAAGCATATTTAACAGGTCAGTAAAGAATTAGTGTTTATGGACATGACCCCCCCATGTAATATTGCTTGAATTGAGTAAGCACACCGGGCGTTCAATCTGGGAGTGTGAAGTGAAACCCGGGTTTTAAGAAATGACCGTTTACTAGATGGCTTGATGCAAGGGCTGGAATTTCTACAGCCTGGTTCTTATGAGCTAAGTCCACTTCATGCTGTAACTGTTGAAGTGGGCTGGTACATAGACAAACATGACGGCCACCTCCAAAGACTTCCATGTACAGACTAGTCCGATCAGATGTCGTGACTGTGGTGGCCCCACATTCACATGCATATCTTTAGCTTGACACACGTGTGCACTTAGCAAATGCCACCACAGTAATGGCTTCCAATTCTGGCTATCGAAAATTTTACACTATTTGGGTTTTCCAGGTCTTTTCCTGTTACACCATGTAACCGCCATGCCTGCTCAGTATGGCAATTTTGTTTGTCTAGGGTGATGGAGACATGGAGACAAACACATTGGCTTGTGTACACAGACAAGATAGTTCAGCCCTCCCCCCCACCTTCGTTTCCCAATGATACCATCCAGCATTACAGCATTGGGTCTACCGCTACACTACCATCCTGTTGGCACTACAACATTATGGCTTTATTCTTAAAGAAGTCTACCACGTGTCCAGAAAACCGACGGAGGAATTTCGGATACTCTCGTTTGTAGACAGCGCGAATGACAGAGCTCGGAACCCAACCTCCAGGATTTGCTGTGAATGCAATACAAGTGATGTGATTAGTATTATTTCAACAGAATTTACAGACTATTTGACTTTACCACTTCAGTCCTGCTAAGGTGCAAAGATGTGTTTATAAAGTTAGAGGCTTGACATATGAAGCACACAGTCTTCAATTAAGATTACCCCCTCCAAAAAGGAGCGGGAGGTCATATACAACGAATGGTGTGCAGTAACTAAGTTGTTTCAAACACGTACCTCCATGTAGAACATGTGATTAAGGGATGAAACATTTGGGGAATCCACATACATAGAATGAAAACAAAATTTGACAAATTAAAAATCCAATGCTGCAGCATGTCAGTTTCTGACAGCAAACAACGGCTGATTTGAGGCACAATTGGGCTTATGTGAGCAGGCGGCACGATCTTGAGTTCTAGAACCAGAAGTGTTTGAATCTTGTTGGGAGAAGTAAGTGTTGGAAGAAGTAAATGTTGTACTAACAACCATGACCAATAATGTGAAAGGTTGGTTCATATTTTGATGTTTTGGAGTTTACATATAATTCGATTTGCCTCTAAATCCAATCTCTCCCTCTTCACAATTTGAACCATCGTCATATTTTTAATGGACAAATGTTTGTTGACCTTTGTTTCACCACACCTTCCTGAACACCTCAAGTATTTGAACAAGCATTAAAGTCAAGGATTTGAACACTTGAGAGCTGGAAATAAGGGAATAGGATATGATGTTATCTATTCTCTCATTGAAAAAAAAATTGAAATATATATAAATTAATGCAAGATGGGAAACAAAAATGAAAACAAGTAAGAAAAATGATAGTAATGACAGGAAAAGGGAAAGTGGAACAGGAAAGGTAACAGATATGAAAGCTGTCAATTGATGTTTGATGACAATTTTTATCAGTACTGATTTTCCTCCAACCAATAAACATACCTTACACTTGTCTGTGTAGGTAATACTTGAAATGTGGCATAAAAATAGAACAAAACAAAACAAAAAGGTAATTTGAATCCTCAAGGTTGTAAGACTTAAAAAGGAACCTAACAACAACACCAGAAACAACACTTGTTAATCAGTCCAAATATACTGCAGGGACTTATATGCCATGAGTAATTTCTTTTTGATAATGCGACAGGGTACAAGACTGCATGGACCAGGAAATAAAAAGGGGTGGACGTGCACAATTGAGGCTGGTCTTGGTACAGATGTTGACTTGTATTTTAGCACCACGGGAAAAAAGGAATACGGTTTATTTTTCCCTGTTCATGTCAAAAGTCCAGTGAGCAATGCAACCACAGATGTCAATTCACGCATGCCGACCTTGCAGACCTGATAGTGGCATTTCTAAAGGAACAAACTACTTGCTAATCCCTGACTGATCAGGGGCTTTTCAAACCACAAAAGGTTGTTTTTGTCCCTGGCGGTTCTCAACATATTTCAATTCTCACGTCATGCATGTACGCACAAGAAGATGCTCGATGAAGCTGAAATTTTGGGGGCCTGGGTAACCAAACCGACATATCTGCTTTTGTGTCCTTTTTTCAGGGAAAAGGAACCACGGGCTCATTGCTTGTGCCTCAGCATAACTGTGTTTGAATTAGGAAAACAGCATGGGAAGATAATCCTGGTACTGAAAGTTAGGATCCAATTGTTGTTCACTTGTTAATTAAGGAACACAATTTACAGGTGAAAATACTTTTTTCGTTTTGAAATCAGAAATAGATCTAAGTAGATGTAATTGATTTAGATTTTGATATAACACCCCCCCCCAAAAAAAACACCCTAAAATTAAAAATGCAATTTTAGTTTACCAATCTTTATTCATGTTCCAGGACAAAATTATGAAAAAAAGACAACAAATTACAGATTTTAGATTTTTTACTGGTTAGTTCAAGACAGGTTAGTCAATTCAGTGGCAGACCACCATTTTATGGACTTCCTGTCAGTTTGTCTGTGCTTCTTTTCTACAGGTCAAAGGGCACCACATTACACAAGGCATTTCATTCCTAATGCCCTCGCACATACAGACACACACAAAATAAGCGACATAAAATAAGCTCAGACAATGCTCAGGTCATCTCAAACAATGATTCTAAGGTCAGTCACAATGGCCTTTAGGTCATGCATCCTGACTGCTTAGAGGACAAATAATGAACAAGGTTTCTCACGGTTGATTGTGTAAACTTGTTGTAGGGGGGTTTGTTTGCTAGAGAGCAGCGACGGACTTGGAACCAGTGATTCCCCTCTTTGGTTTTAACCACTTGCTGCCGGGGAACCCCATTTTAAGCAGCATGGGTTTATGCGCAGAGCCGGGCGCCCGAAATGGGACAAAAGAGCTGGTCCGTGTAACAAAAGACCGTACTCGGGAATTGTCATCATTTTTCGGCTTGCATTTTTCGAAGGTAATCCCCCACTGTTTTTAAACAGTATACTGCTGTTTTGGGCATAGCGCACCCGCAGAATAGCACCGCGGAAAAAAGTGCTCCAGGGCGCCATTGATGAGCGACACAGCACTGCTGCATGCTAATTCAGCCGCGTTTGGAAAGACGCCACTCGCATTCACTTGGGACAAAGGAAATTACGCAACACCTCACAATTCTGAGCTCTCTTTACAGGGAAGCAGACCTGGCTGAAATATTCAGGAGTCAATGAAGGTTACCTGTCAGCTTCGAGTAACTACCAACCAGTCATTTGTGTGGGTGCAAACGTCCATTAAAAGAAATGATGAATTTTTGAAGAATTTTGAAAACTGAAAATCTTGAAAATTGCCTGTATGTGTGCACTGCATTTTTAAAAGCACCCGGCAGCAAGTAGTTAACAAGTCTGCAGCCTTTGGAGTCACCAACTATAACTTGATGGGAATATTCTGGTTTTTTTATGAACCAACTCCCCACATAAATTTTTCTTCAGGTCAAAATACCTTAGACTATCAAAAAAAGTCTGTGGAGGATACTGTGACATTCAATGAAACTGTTATGTGGTTTGGGAAAATTATTAAAGGAGAGGCATTCTCAATTACTCAATGTGGTTTTGGAAAAACACGGTACTTTGAAGGCCACCGCCCATAGAAATTAAACCTCCCAACAGAGGGCGCTATACATAAAATACGGTCTCTCATGATTATGGCAAATGCTATACAAAACCCCACATTTTCTTGTTTGCCTTTTCTTTTCAGAATAGATTATATCATAACAGTAGAGAGAAAGGTTTGTGGACACATACTGTATGGCACAGGGTCCAGTCTAAAGCAGGGCTCAAGGCTAGGGCCAAAAAGGACAAACAACAACCCTGAACCAAATAACATTTGAATAACAATGGCTGTTAGATGATTCTTTATTTAGGGGTTCAGGGGTGGAGAAAACAAACTTTTCAGATCAGGAAATGTTGACTGCAATGTCTAGCTCCGATTTATGGGTACAATACACGGTACGGTACATGTGTATCTGTTTGAACAGTTGCTTTTTCTTTCTTTTTTTAATTCCGTGTTTGCTGAAGAAAAAAAATGTGTAATAAAAGGAAACAGGTTGCACGGTGGACCTGGTGGCAGAGTGCTGATTTTGTTGCCTTCCCTTGAGGGTTGTGTACTTTAGCAAACATATGGTAGCGAATTACAGGCTAGGCCCATGGAAACCTAAACAAGGAAGTAGGAATCCATCATCAGGAAATTGCTACAGGTGCATGTTACTCCAGACCAAAGCTAGAAGAAAAACAAATTTTTTTTTCCGTAGCCACTAGCCAACTTTTCATGAATTTTTTTTAGGCATTTCCATATTGCTCAGTACTAATTGTGTGTCAAGTGATTTGAGTGTAATAAGCCACTGAGGCTGTCTGGAAAATAGATGGATGTCACAAGACTGCTTTTCCAAAGATTAAAGCTTAATGCTGTCAACCAAGTTTGTGGGAGTAAGAATTTTAAGACTACCGGGTACCACTGCAAAATTAAACATTTGGTGTAAGATATGTGGTAAAGGAGACCCCCTTCTATTATGTCTTCTTTTGTGTTGACGGAATCTTTAGAATTTCTTTCAGATATACAGCTTGTGAATTACATTAGGGGGGTCCCCCTTTACCACATATCATGCTGGATATAAGATTAAAGGTATTGGCGTACGTGTGGCGCAATGTGACTAAGGTACAATGGTCATTTCAGCTGATCCCTGTGCTTGAATAAACACAAGATCAGTACAAAGGGACAAAGTGGAGAGAAGCAAGTTACAAAACAACTCACGGCAGACACAGAAACACTGGAGGCTGATATAATTCATGCATGCATTCAGAGAAGAATATTATGTTGAGTAGTTATGAAAAGAAAACAAATTCACTGAAGACCACACAGCAAAAGAAATTAAGTGCTAGAACTTTTAGTTTTATCCTCTGCTGATATAATTTGTTCATCACTGCATGCTTAGAGCTTTCCACGAGATAGTGGGAAAATATTCCCAAGTTGATTCAGGTTAGAGTTAGGAATGGAATTGCTCAACCGCTTAGTGCTTGAGAATGTTCGAACTAACATAACAAGAAAACAAAAAACATCAAAGAGTTGTCTAGATTCCTTTCCATATTTTACTGACTCCAGTCCAAAACCTTCCCTGAAACTCTGAGCAAGAACTGCAAAACTATATTTTGCTTCACGCGAATCGGACCTTTCAGAGGTCAAGGAGGTCAGGAGGTCATTGGAGGTCAAGCAAGGTCAATGATAGGGTCAAGTTTTGACAACGTGGAAGGTACTCACCGTGTGCCACATAGTAGATCTTGCAGACTAGGTTGTCTCTGGTTGCATCTTCCAGCTTCGTGTCAGGCGGATCAAGAAATGTCTGGCAGAGCATACAGACATTTATCTTGGCACGGATACACTTACTTGTCTGTAGAAGAAAAAAGTCAGTAATGAACCACCTCAAAAGCCCATTTTGACATCCTTTCACATATTCTGTCAAACTCTTTTGAACAGCCTTTGACAGTGTGCAGGAACCGACCATGCTGCAAATGTACACCTGAGGCTTTTAAAGAGGACTTTTTAGTTTATTTTCTGAAATTTGTACAGCTCTGCAATTGATTTTGTAATTGCAACATTACTTTAAAATTGTGACCTTTTCCCTGGTAAGGGGAATGTTGCTTGACCTTTCAGTGTCCTACAGTTGACCCTCTCAGAAACCTCCAATCTCTCAGTATCCCAGCAATTACACACGGCACCTATGGGCGTGTGCTAACCTTTCACAATCTGTCTGTGCACATAACATTTTGCGTTCCCCCCTTCCAAAACCCCCAAACACTAGGTGTATTGTACATTCCCACCCACATATTGCAAATACTCCATATTGGAATGCAAAATACACAAAGCAAGGCACTTTGAAACATTGGATCCACCCATGACACTTACTGCTTTTTCCAGACCAAGATTGTGCATGTACATGACATTTGCATGCTCCATACACTTTAATGTTAACAGTCGTTTTGGGAGGAATTACATCATTCCACAATAGTTTTTCAGGGTACAGGCAGGCACATTTAAATGTTAGCCAAAGTTTTATCCGGTACCTTTGTCGCAGTAAATTACTTGCTTATGCCGTACATGAATTATTTCTTTCTCAACAATTGCTCCCCATTAAAGTCACTGACATTTGTAAGCATTTGCCATTTGATAACAATGACGACTGACAGCTGGAATGCTTTTTTTTTTAAACCGTATAACAGAACCTACATGTACATGTAACTACAACCCAGGCAATCTACCCAACAGTAACAGGGTAAATAACTGTTCTACAGGCAGCCATGTTTACAATGTAGGCTTCTCAGGAAAAAAAGAACCTTGAAAATTATTAAACCTCTGGCCTCCAGTAATCTCTTTTGAACAGTTCAATTCTAAACTCTTTAACAATTTTTGAGTGGCATGTACATTTCAGTAAACCACCACAACATCTTAGAAAAGTTTCTAGATAACTTGGCAGCAAACTAGACTGGATTATCTTTCACATGGAATCTCCTTCCACAGAAAAATGAAAGAATGAAAAAAAGGACTAATTTCACAACAGATTCTGAATCATCAAAAATGAACTCTCACCATACTACAGGAGCGTGTTAAAAACAGATTCTGAATCATCAAAAATGAACTCTCACCATACTACAGGAGCGTGTTAAAAACCAAATGGTCAATCTACTTAGAGGATGATGGGAAAATGTGTGGTTCTTTCAGTTCCTTGCATGAAAAGGACAGTTCAGAATTTACCGAAAGTGAAACTGTGGAGAAAGTTCACAAGGCTAACAACTGTATTTTCAGAGTTCAAAATTATGTCCCATAAAATTCACAGCAAGGATAAATGAGGCTGACAGTTTACAAACCCTTTCCTTCCTACAGGCCACTGACTGACGTGAAGTTCATGTATTTTGAAGAGTGCAGGGGTCAATACATAGCCCTTCGGAGACCACAACCCTGCAGTTGTTACAATTATTAGCAAGTCCTTGTACATCCTGGCCCTTTTTAATGGCGGAAAGACTATGTTGGCTATGGGTCTGGATCTGTTACAACGGAATAATTACTGGGGTGATAGTTCATAAAGGGTCAAAGTTTTTTGACATCTTATTTTGCCTGGCATTTGCATGAAGCTTCAATGAAGGGTTAGTGCTTGCAAAAGTGACAGTTTGGTCAAGCTGTTGCCAACATCGTTATCAAAGGTAACTCCACAGAAAAGAACTATTTTAAAAAAAAAAGATAAAGTGGATATAAGGAGTACCATGCACTGGTAAATCTAATTTTTTTTGCAAACGCTTTTTTGTTATTGATTAACAGCAAGGTTGATAATAGTGTGACCAAATCTCCAACTGCGCATGGAATTGCCCAAAATTTTCTTGCAGGGTGTATAGATCACCATCATTACTGGTCACAAAGTTCAAATAATGTTCCACAAACAACTGATGTCCTCTATTCCCTGATCACCTGTCCCTTACTTACCCCATCCGGATGGTCCACTGAATAGTTGACGACGATCCAGGAGCCCACGTCGCCCTGTGACTGCTGGCTGAGGTCCAGCTTGCGGATGTGGGAGAGGAAGCAGGTGTCACGCTGCGTGGCGGGCCAGACCCGGCGCATCATCTGGTGGCAAATAAAGGTATCTGGGGCCAGCGTCTCCAAGGACTTACACCAGTCAAGGGTCCCTGAGGTATGGATGAAGGTGTATGGTGGTTTAGCAATTGCAAAGCCACTGTCACTAGGATGTGTCTAAAATGGACTATTTATGCCAATGGCTACAAGTATTTACCAAAGCTTGCAATGTACAAATGTTTCAGCCATAGCCTCACAACTACAGATTTGAATACAGCCTGTGTTATCTAAAATGTGCAAGAATGGGAATATTTAACAGTTAGTGGCCTATGAATTACAAGAATGCTAATTCAAGACTTCAGTCCCTTTGCAGTTTCTACTGTTACTCGTTTGACAATTTCCAAAACTGGAATTTTGAGAGGGTTGAGACAACTCTTCCTTCCCACTGGACATTTTCTTCCGCGGCCATGCAGAAACTTACAGCACTGCTTCATGTCAGTCTACCAGGCATTCCCACTTGGACTTTCTTTAACAGTAATGGAATGTTGACGCGAGACTGAATATCTGAAACCTGAATGTCACATATTGTCGGCCAGCACTATGGTGATCATGAAATTCAACACGACACCCGTTCATCTTCTATCTTGAATTTTGCTCCGAGAGGGTGGATATGCCCTGTTCTTGTTTGCTGACAGAATTTCCTCCATTCGTCAGTATTTTTACTGACATTTAAACGAACGAAAAAACTGACAAAATGACTGAATCTACCATCTTTAAATTAGCACTGAACATGTACATGCAAGGTGCAGTGCACCAATTTTTCGTACTTTAATTCTATCAACTCTGCCCTCACATAGAAGCCCCCAAACTAAGGGAATTGATCCTGGCCTACATTTCCACAATCCCCCCCCTTTTTCGGCCAAAACAACCCCTTTTTCAAAAGAAACAGTGGGGCTTTTTCTATATACAACATGTAAGTAAATGAGCTTAGCAGAAATAATCACTGGAATAAGGGGGATTGGTGCCAAGAAGGTAGAGGGAGTCCCTTTGAAAAATGGCTCAGGGCAGGTTTCGGAAATATCACTTTGGGGGGAGGGGCGAGTTTGTTTTGTGTGAATGGTTAAAAATGGCATTGGGAAACCCATTAGAAATTGAAGAGAAATAGAAAGACTAGGGACAAGACAATAATTCAGTTTTTGTTGGAGAAACTTAAGTAATGTTGGCTTGCATGTTACTGAAACCGGAACTTAGTTGATTTTACACAATTTTCAATGGGGCTTGAATTTGTGCTCTGCACCCTTTGTGTATGGCTTTCTCTGGATACGGCTTCACTGTCTGTGAGCTCTGAATGTGCAACCATTTCGCATGTCCACTGTCAATCTCTGTGTAGTGGTGACATAATGCTGTCCTGTTTATCAAAAGGTTTGCAAGTTGGCTGTGGTAATTCTACGGTACATCATGGAACTGTTCCCGTTAAACTTTTTAGCACCCCTGCTAACTCACTGTGGCCACATGGAAATCCTCCTCGACCACTTTCGGCCTGGTAATCTTCACATCATAGTTGTGCTAACTTGACAAGGACATCAATTTACCGCATGTCCCCACTGGATTTAGTTTTTTCATTCTTCACGAAAGTCATAAAAGTTAACCAAAAAAGTCCAACGGAAACATGGCTTTACACAGCTTTGGATAAGTCCCTTTCAAAATTCTCAAGTAATTATGACGTGGCATGATATGAATTGAGAACAATAACCGTGGCTTTGTTAACTGAATACAGCACCCCAGTCGAAATGTAAGAGTGGAATCACAGTGCCAGACAAAAGCACTTAAAAAGCCACAAAGTTTTAGAAGGGCCCAGTTTAAAGTAAGTCTGAGTCCTTCTGTATATGCATGTATGAAAATTTTAACCACCAACAATGGACCTTTTCCATGAAATATGCAAATAAGGCAGGTGCATGCGCATTACCACACTTTGTCTGCACTTTGTTAGCACTATACATGTATACAACCTTTGATGAAGGTATCATAGGCTCACTCAGGAAAGGATTCAGCAGCACCTCTGTTATCTCAATCCAAATAATATTTAGCTAGTGGTTGTCAATGAGATGAATCCTCGGCAATTTTTCAGAGCATGAGGTTCAGAGAAAGCGGTTGGCTCACCATCCCAGTCCATTCTGTACTTGAGATCCCAGAACAGCCGGCACATCTCGTGCGCCGTGACCTTGCGCACGGTGTGTGTCGCCTTGAGAGGGTCCAGGACAATCCCATCCACCTCCTGCTCCATTTTGTAGATCTGCAGGGAGGAAAATTATCACCAGGTCTCTTTCAGGAAACATGCTAATTTCTTCATGATCATAAGTACATGTAGCTAACAATGAAGGTAATAATTCATCTGGTGGAATGGACTGACAGTCGCCAGACAGGTGACACGGTGGTTTTCTTTGAAACTTGCAGGCAGTGTTAAGTCTTCCTGCGCCAATATTTCCCTAACTACGTCAAATGGAGATATGAAACTTACATCAAAGGATTGTGGATTTGCCCTTTTAGATGCCACCACGATTGGCAAATCTACACAATTTTCAGACATTTTATGATTGAATATAGAGAGCCATCTTTGTGCCAGGAGCAACACTGGTAAAGTGTGGACAAAGGAAGAATTGCTTAAAAACAGAGAAAGCAGTAGGACAAGATATAGATATGAATAGAATTGTACATGCGCACAAAGTAAGTTGTCAACTGCTACGTAAAAAGAGGCAATTTGTTGTTTATGAACAAGATACCACAAGCCACTGGAAGTGGCATGACATTCTTAGGTACCTTTTCTGGGAACCTTCCAAAATTCTCTTAAGTCCACCACTTGTATAGGAAACCAGTTAGGGATCAACTGACATCGGTTTTAACTGCTGATCTGATGTCCGATGTTTTAACCGGAACATTCGCTGATGTCTGATCTGATGTTTTTACTGACATTAACTGAAAATGCAACCTTAACAGGATGTAGGCCTGCTCATAACAACATAAAACTAGTGTACTCCCTTAAAATTTAAAATGTCAGTTTACACATTACTGGTAATGGATTAGTTTTTTGCCTTTACTGTCACTGAGTTGAGAGAATTGTGTACATGACATCGCTGCTCGCACGATACCGATAGTGCTCCATTATATTCGAACCCAACGCACGCAGTGCATACGTGCAGAGACGACACACAGCACCTGGGGCTGAATCACGTCTAGCCTTTAGTCAAGGCGGCATGGCACCGGTGCACGGTGCTTGGCCCGTGGCTTCGTCACTCACATTGGTGTACAGATTGATCTTAATTTGTTTGAGACATTCAATAGTGAGCTGGTTCCTTGCCATAACAATAGGACATGGAGGCAAGTAGCTGTTGATGACGGAAATAAAGCATGAGTTAATGTTTAGGATGCCCCTTTTATTTTAGAACGTCACATGTCTGTTACATTTCAAAAGTTTAGCATTATGAAAGTTGTGCAAAAGCAGAGATCAATATGCAAAAAACTACCACGAAAAATTTAGGAAATGTTTTTTTGATTTGTGATGCATGTTTGGGAATCTGAAAGGAGAAAAAATTTAGACATGCCCAATACATGTACATCTGATATTCGTGATACCACCTCAAAATCAACAGAATCGGTCAGAAAATTTGGGCTAAATTTGGAAGGGGGGGTTGAATTCCTTTCATCCCAGTTACATGACATGGCAGCTACTGGACTTAAATACTGCTCAAAGGTTGTTGAAATCTTTTGGTCTAGGAACCAGACTACAGCAGTAGCACACAACTCAACCATTCCATCGTTCTACCAGGTAGGGCCTCAGAGATTAATTTCCACAAAGAGAGGAGTGCTACCGTTGGGGGAAGGGGAGGGTGTCCGACCAGGAAAGTCCAGGATGTCTACCACTGCAAAAATGGGACAAAGGAAGCCCTGCCTACCTTCATCTCTCCTTCCTGGTGCAGCAGATCCCAGTTGCTCTCAATGTTCTCAAAGGAGTATCTAATGTTCTCTTCCACTTTGTCGTGGCACTGCAAAGATATGTCAAGAAAAGATAGAGATACAGGAGAGTATTTTTGAGGTCTTTGATATAACTGTAAAAACTTTTCTTGCGAATGATATTAATTTGACTTTGCATTGAGGCTGTTAATTTTGTGGGTTTTGAGCTTCCACCAATGTAGATATTCCTACTGTATTCTCAGGGTGGTCCTAACGGTAACAGCTTGTTCAGTTGGAATTCAAACCCATGACTTCCTGCTTCACTAGTGCAAACGTCTTAACCACTTGACCAACAAGTTTGCCACGATCAGTTGTAAGGCAAAACCTAGACCAATATTCTTCTGATGTACTAATGCACAAAGAGGGTTCCTGTTGGAGATTTCACCTTTGGCAGTATCTTTCACAGATTCACACCTATGTTTCCTTCCTCATCTTAGTTTAGTTTTACTTATTGTTCAGGGTCGTACACTGAATACCAGCCGGCTTTTGTGATGGAAACGAGACGTCTGATGGAATTATTCTGTCATTCAATGATCACATGTAATCAAATATGCAGTAGCCTTTCTAGAAGTGCAAAATCATTTATTCCTTCTCTTCCTGTAAAACAATATGCAAATATAACATGGTTTGAGGTTGGACTGTCCAACTGAAATAAACCATGTTATATTTGTTTGACTATACCTCATATATATTTTATTCAATAACCTCCGAAAACAATAACAACTTCATTAATTTGTTTCCACGAACTTGTATTTTGTTCTTAAGGCTGAAATACAAACACCTCATCTTTTTAGATTTACATTTATGAATGCATACAGACCGTTGCTAGGCTGGCGCCACCATAAGTGCACAGTGTACCTGGGCGACAGTTCCTAGATTTTCTACTACTGTGCATGCGTTTTTAGCTGTCGTTCGGGTAAGCTGGGAGACTGTCAAAAATGCATGAATCTTTACTTCTTGCAAGCACGATTGTGTCTGCGCTTGGCTAACAGCAAAAACAGCAACTGGAGTGTGACCGTGAATGCACCAATGAGAGTTCGGCGATCCATAATGAATATGTATGAGGTATAGTAAATCAACATATTCTTGCAATCGGGGTTTTCGTAAGAATGTGAAACACATAAAGATGAAGCCAGCATTCAACTTAAGGTCATCCTGATGGTCATTAGCTTGGAAAGGTTTAAAGCCAGATTTACGAACTTAAAAATCTGGTTTGCTGTGATTTTATTCTCTCAAAGTGATTTACTACATAACCGAAAGTTCAGTTGATATTCGAATAGTGTAGTGTGACAGTTTATGATATGTAAAGGATCAATACTGGCTTCAAATGATGATGTTGCACAAAATGGCTCAAAATCACTTTAAAAACTTTTCTACTTTGGCTTTATCATGCGTTTCATTACTGACGTCCATTGCAAATACATATGTGGGCTAAATCTTTAGGAAAACCTCAATAAGAAATTTTGTCAATGGTTTGCGTTGCACACTACGTTGGCAACACAAGGTGCGGTCTCCATGTGAGACTATGGCATGCACAAGTATTGAACACTGGCTACGGCTCTCCACCACTGTCTCTTTTGATCAAAAATCAAAGCCGTAGTTGCAGGAGACAGGACAGGATTATGGCTACCCCTGTCATGCACTGACTCATACAATCCTTGTATCAACTGAATTGATACACAGGCAGTGCTGGGTGAACATGTGTTCACAGCCCAGTTTCATAGAACAGGTCAGCAGAAAACACTGCCGAGCGAACGTATGCTGAAGCAAAAATCCAGCTGTGAACCAGTCACGAGCAATATGCCATGCATGACAGTTTGGCTGGTGACCCGCTTGTGGTAAGTAACCGTTTTCTGAGCTTAACAGATTTGCATGCTTAGAAAATTGGCCCCTCCACAAAGACCAATCGGGCCACCAAATTGGAAGCCGTTACTGCGGTTCCTGTTCACATGCACGGTGGTAGACACATGTTTATATTCCTCTTTGTATAACAGGGTGTCACGACTTGCTAACGTTTGTTCTTGCGCCCACTCGAGTTAAGGACCCGTGCATGAGTATGGTATCCTGTGGTATTGGCATCTCCTCTGATGCAAGTTGGTGTCATAAATCAGCACAAGTATCTGCCAAGTTTGAAAAGAATTGGGTTTCGTAATAGGCCGAGAATGTGCTGCAGGATTACAGCATGTTATCCTCAGTTCATTTGGGAGAGAAGAGGGACAAGCTCAAGGGAAAAAATCTGAATGGTGAGACGGTGGTAGTAAGAACAACTGGGTTCAAACCCACACTCTCTGAGAGACTGCTTGACCACCACAGAATCTTGCACGTACCTCTTGGATGAGCCGATGGGGGTGGGGTGGTAGATCCTTACTTATGGTGTTGCTGGAGCTAAATGAAGCATCCTTGTGTTCCTGTGATAGAACAACAGCCAAATGTTCACTTGACGGCAGTAAAAAAAACAAAACAGAGCGATCAACCATTCACTTTTCCTTTAGAACTGTTTGTTATATTTGTTACTCTTCTTAAATGGAAATACGTTCATGTTATAAAACTACCTTGACTCCTGGTGACTTTATTGTAACATTCTTTTTAACACCTTTCACCCAACTGAGAAGGAAATAACCCCAGCCCCAACAAAATAAATTTTCCAATATGAAGTTCACAAGTAACAGTTACATGTAACTGAACAGTTGCCAAAGCCATCCCCTAACCACACTTTATTTGTGTTTGAAGGTACAATTTTTTAAAGTAAAAATTGAGAGGAACATAGTCAGAAGAGCCACCAAATATCATACTACTTATTTATCTTGGAAAAGCAGTAATAAAAACAGTGATTACCATGGACCAAATCTTAGAAGGCTGTCCGTATCCGTCAGTGTACGGTGGCATGTGTGAGGCTACTTTTTGCGGACACCGTGTTAACCCGCCGCCGTGCAGGCATGCCTGGCCACCACCATTTGGAAAATCACGGTGCGCTTCATTGCTCGGCAGTCAAATGCACCCACATTCACAATCTAAACCTCAATATTTATAAGGTGTTTCCGACCCATTCTTTCCAAAAATAATACCTACATTCTTGAAGATGTACCAGAAAGCCTCAAAAATTCCACTTAAAAAAAATGCTTTTTCAGCAGATCAAACGTCCAGGAAACTTCACCTTTTTTCCAGGAATTTTTGACGAGGACTTCGGGCAACTCAAACCCTATCCATTCATGCACAAATCGATGAAAAATAGTGAGGTCCCTGGGGCTAAAAATCAATTTACTACATCGTGTCTATGGGGAGTCAGGCGACCATGTGTTTGTACACAAAAATGATCCATGCACACAACACTTGCCCAGTGGCCCATTTCAGTCCCAACACACATAGGCCCAGTGCACAACCGCAACTCACATCCGTTGACAGTGTGTTTGTCTATCCGACCTAGATGAGCAGGTTTTCGCACCGACATTTTCACACCTTTTTTACATTGTTTTCGCATTATTTTTGCACAGTTTTTGCATTATTTTTGCACAGAGATTTTTGCACGACATTGTCAAATTTTTCGCATTGTTTTTGCACCATTTTTGCACATTTTTTGCACCGTTTTGGCACATTTTTGCATCAGATTTACTGTGAATTCGCAGAGGAGAAAAGTAGCAGTCAAAATGCGAAATTCACCTGCGAATGCTGATTTTTTCCCCTCTTTTCTGCAGTCTTTTTCCTTGGGTTAACTTTCAATTGCACTGTAATGTACAACCAACTACGTCAAGGCATGGCTTTCACTGTAACTGTTTGACTGAAGAGAATAACAAGTGGGCAAATTAAAAAACAAAAATGAAACTACAAACTGACCGCTGCATCATCTGCTTGCTCTATCTCAGCCTCACTCTGGTCGTGGATGTCCAGGGCTGCATCAATGGCATCAAAGAACTCATCCTCCTTCAACATGCTGTGAGGCCCTTCCTACAAAGAGGTTATTTCAAAACAAGAAAATTTTTAATTTACCATGCAGACATAAGAGCCTCTACAAACTCATTTCAGTACTGAGAAAGTTACAACATCGCTACTCTTCTCCTAAAAATCGTTTTTTTTACAAAGGTATTTTTTCCTAAAATTCTTATTTTCCTGACATTTTATGACAGCTCATGATTGCCAAACTTTTATTCAATTTTCATAGCACTGTTGAAGTGCATTTAACAATTGTTGCCTGCTGTGTAGGTGTCCAAGGTTTTATGCACACCTGCCGGGGGGAAAGGCATTCAAGGTGAAGCCGAGGGTGCCCTTTGACCACCCAAATCCCATTTGCTTCAGTCTGGGAACAGATTAACCTACTCTATGGCTGAGTTCGGGCGGCTTGTTCTTGTATGTTCACGAACAGCTCAATTTGTTGTTCTTGGGTCGGCCGCTCAAACGCCGGGAACGTACAACCAGTTACCGCTGGTAGTTAGTCACATGCAAAATGCAACATGGTGGCGTCCATGTACGTTATTCGAGAGTTAATGTTTGGATAACTGGGCTGAACTCTTTTCTGTTTAACCCCTTGATGACAGGAACTTTTTTCCGAAAGCCGACTCCGAGAATTCCAGCCTTGCTTGGCCATGAAGGCCACCTGCCACACCGCAAATTCTCGATTTGTGGCCCTGCGTGCTCTGCACGCTTTGAATTACACAGTGAAAAGGCTCATTGTTTGGTGGCATGAGG